CCCAGGTCTCAGACAAGTTACTCATCACACGAGCGTGGTCACCGAACCACCTGTGTTACACTTCACCCCCCTTTGACCTCTTCCTTGAAGAGACCCATCCAAGTCACAGGACCAATACCTAGGCTTTAGCGCAACAGGCTAACACAGTCTTAACCCACTCAGTCACATTTTAACCTCATAATGACTACCCTTGCAGGGACTTGAAACCAGGGGCGGACTGGGACAAAATAATTATAATAATCGGCCCTGGCATTTCTAACACATCAGCCAATTATTTTCCTTGAGGCCCCCAGACTTGCCCATTATTATCCTTGAGGTCCTCATCATTAGCTAGATAATGATAATTTTGCACAAAGTTAGACAGGCCCACTGAGCTAAAAATGGACCAGCCCATCTGGCATTTGCCCGAAATGCCAGATGGCCAGTCTGCCACTGCTTGAAACTAACACGTTCAACACAAATTAGCACATGTCAAACTAACATGTCTTCAGGTCTCAGGCAGGTTTTCATCACATAAGCATGGATCACTAAACCACGCTCTTTTGACGAGTAACCTTGCTGGATCTTGAAGACTTGTATTAGTGTAGCAGATGGGGATCTGTGAAACTCACTCCTCAGCCTGAAGTATCGCCCCTTGCGCAATTGAAGGCTTTTTTTTAATAGCACGATGGGTTGGAATGCTTCAGGAGGGCAGTCACCTGTGTTTGTGAGGCAGAGGTCCTGAGTTTGAGTCTCCATATGAGCTGAATCAGGGGGAAGAGGTACTCGCTAAGCAGGTAGTGTGACGTCCTTTACAATGGTGTCACTGGACTCGGATCTACAGTTGCGCTGGTTCAACCACTGGGGTCGCTGTGGAGTGAGCTAAGAGGGTGAATGTAGCAGATGGGGATCTGTGAAACTCACTCATAAGCCTGAAGTGTCGCTCCTTGAGCAACCATTCAGGAAGGCAGTCACATGTGTTTGCGAGGCAGAGATCCTGAATTTGAGCAAGATTAAATAGGGAGTGGAAAGGCTATACTTAGAAGGGCTATGATAGAGCTACAGTGCCTTGCAAAAGTATTCATCCCCCTTGGTGTTTTTCCTATTTTGTTGCATTACAACCTGTAATTTAAATGGATTTTTAATAAAGGTGACTGATTCTGATCCAAATGAACATGAAAACATGCATTAGCCTACACTTCCTATCGCCGTTTTGAACTTCTAACACATTAGGGATAATAAGGGAGTGGTTTGTGACACACAAGAGCAGCCGCTCACTTATTTTTCCGCTCATTTGACAGATACACCTCAAACACCGCAAGAACATCTGTTATGCGGAAGTCTGCCAGCTCGGTTTAACGCTCGATCGGATTGAATCGAGGTCAAAGGCCCTGTAAGACTGGCTTCTTACACACACACACGCTCGCATGTACACTAACGGTCAAAAGATAGGACACACCTACTCATTCAAGGGCTTTTCTTTATTTTTACATTGTAGAATAATAGTGAAGACATCCAAACTATGAAACAACACATACGGAATCATGTAGTAACCAAAAAAGTGTTAAACAAATCAAAATATATTTTATATTTGAGATTCTTCAAATAGCCCCCTTTGCCTTGATGACAGATTTGCACACTGTCACGCCCTGGCTCTGGGGACACTTGTATGTTGAGCCAGGGTGTGAGTTTCAGTTGTTTGTCTAGTAGTTGTATTTCTATGTTGGCCAGAGTGGTTCCCAATCAGAGGCAACGAGTGTCAGCTGTTGCTGGTTGTCTCTGATTGGGAACCATATTTAGACAAGCTGTTTTCCCACAGTGGTTGTGGGATCTTGTTCTAGTTGGTTTTGTGTTAGACCGTGAGCTGTCACGTTATCGTTTTGTTGTTTTGTTCGGTTAATCACTAAATAAAGAGTATGTTCGTCTTCAACGCTGCGCCTTGGTCCTCCTCTGTTCCCGACGATCGTGACAGAAGATCCCAGCAGAACTGGACCAAGCAGCGGGTCCAGGAGCCATCGCCAGGGAAATCTCTGGCGGATATCCAGCGCCTCCTCGACTGGGTCAAGCCGGGTGAGCAAGAGAGGGGCTTGACGTGGAAGCAGAAGGGCGAAAGGCTGGCGAAAAGTATGGAGACCTGGTCCACGGGTAGGAGAGAAGCCCAGAATTTTTTTAGGGGGGGGCTAACGCCGTGGACGACGGGGCAGCAGGAGACTGCGATAGGGCGGCCCAGCGGGTTGGCAGAGGAGGCCGCCAGGTTACGGGGGCCACTGGTCAAAGAGGGGAAGGAAGGTGTAGAGGCACGGCGAGAGGTACTGGGGTGTGTTACCAGTCCGGTCCGGCCCGTTCCAGATCCCGCCGTAGGGCCAGTGGTGTGTGTCCCCAGTACGGTCCGGTCTGTTCCTGCTCCCCGCACCAAGCCTATGGTGCGCGTCGCCAGCTCGGCCCGGCCTGTTCCTGCTCCCCGCACCAAGCCTATGGTGCGCGTCGCCAGCCCGGCCCGGTCTGTTCCTGCTCCCCGCACCAAGCCTATGGTGCGCGTCGCCAGCCCGGCCCGACCTGTTCCTGCTCCCCGCACCAGGCCAATGGTGCGCGTCGCCAGCCCGGTCCGGCCCGCTCCTGCTCCCCGCACCAAGCCTATGGTGCGCGTCGCCAGCCCGGCCCGCTCCTGCTCCCCGCACCAAGCCTATGGTGCGCGTCGCCAGCCCGGCCCGGCCTGTTCCTGCTCCCCGCACCAGGCCAATGGTGCGCGTCGCCAGCCCGGTCCGGCCCGCTCCTGCTCCCCGCACCAAGCCTATGGTGCGCGTCGCCAGCCCGGTCCGGCCCGCTCCTGCTCCCCACACCAAGCCAGGGGTGTGCGTCGTCAGTCCGGCACGGCCCGTGCCTGTTCCCCACACCAAGCCAGTGGTGTGCGTCGCCAGCCCGGTCCGGCCCGCTCCTGCTCCCCGCACCAAGCCTATGGTGCGCGTCGTCAGTCCGGCTCGGCCCGTGCCTGTTCCCCACACCAAGCCAGTGGTGTGCGTCGCCAGCCCGGTCCGGCCCGCTCCTGCTCCCCGCACCAAGCCTATGGTGCGCGTCGTCAGTCCGGCACGGCCCGTGCCTGTTCCACCGGTGCCTGGTCCGGCACCGGTCAGCTGCTTCACGCCGGAGCTAGAGCAATCCGCTCCACCAGTGTGCAGTCCAGCTCCGGTCAGCGGGGCCAGACCGGACCAGGGGTTCTTTGGGGGGTTGGAGAGGGAGTGGGGATCAGGCCCGGAGCCGGATCCGCCGCCAAGGCGGAGTGCCCACCCGGTCCCTCCCCTGTGGTATTTAGTTGGCGCGGTCGGAGTCCGCGCCTTTAGGGGGGGGTACTGTCACGCCCTGGCTCTGGGGACACTTGTATGTTGAGCCAGGGTGTGAGTTTCAGTTGTTTGTCTAGTAGTTGTATTTCTATGTTGGCCAGAGTGGTTCCCAATCAGAGGCAACGAGTGTCAGCTGTTGCTGGTTGTTTCTGATTGGGAACCATATTTAGACAAGCTGTTTTCCCACAGTGGTTGTGGGATCTTGTTCTAGTTGGTTTTGTGTTAGACCGTGAGCTGTCACGTTATCGTTTTGTTGTTTTGTTCGGTTAATCACAAAATAAAGAGTATGTTCGTCTTCAACGCTGCGCCTTGGTCCTCCTCTGTTCCCGACGATCGTGACACACACTCTTGGCATTCTCTAAACCAGCTTCATGAGGTAGTCACCTGGAATGCATTTCAATTAACAAGTGTGCCTTCTTAATTCGTGGAATTTCTTTCCTTCTTAATGCGTTTGAGCCAACCAGTTGTGTTGTGACAAGGTAGGGGGTCCATATTATGGCAAGAACAGCTCAAATAAGCAAAGAGAAACGAAAGTCCATTTTTACTTTAAGACATGAAAGTCAGTCAATTCTTCAAGTGCAGTTGCAAAAACCATCAAGCGCTATGATGAAACTGGCTCTCATGAGGACCGCCACAGGAATGGAAGACCCAGAGTTACCTCTGCTGCAGAGGATAAGTTCATTAGAGTTACCAGCCTCAGAAATTGCAGCCCAAATAAATGCTTCACAGAGTTCAAGTCACAGACACATCTCAACATCAACTGTTCAGAGGGGACTATGTAAGTCAGGCCTTCATGGCCGAATTGCTGCAAAGAAACCACTACTAAAGGACACCAATAAGAAGAAGAGACCTGCTTGGGCCAAGAAACACGAGCAATGGACTTTAGACCGGTGGAAATGTCCTTTGGTCTGGAGTCCAAATTGGAGATTCCAACCGCCATGTCTTTGTGAGACGCGGTGTGGTTGAACGGATGATCTCTGCATGTGAAGTTCCCACCGTAAAGCTTGGAGGAGGAGGTGTTATGGTGTGGGGGTGCTTTGCTGGTGACACTGTCTGTGATTTATTTAGAATTCAAGGCACACTTAACCAGCATGGTTACCACAGCATTCTGCAGCGATACGCCATCCCATCTGGTTTGGGCTTAGTGGGACTATCATTTGTTTTTCAACAGGACAATGACCCAACACACCTCCAGGCTGTGTAAGGGCTATTTGACCAAGAAGGAGAGTGATGGAGTGCTGCATCAGATGACCTGGCCTCCACAATCTCCCGACCTCAACTCAGATGGTTTGGGATGAGTCGGACTGCAGAGTGAAGGAAAAGCAGCCAACAAGTGCTCAGCATATGTGGGAACTCCTTAAAGACTGTCGGAAAATCATTCCAGGTGAAGCTGGTTGAGAGAATGCCAAGAGTGTGCAAAGCTGTCATCAAGGCAAAGGGTGGCTATTTGAAGAATCTCAAATATAAAATATATTTTGATTTGTTTAACACTTTTTTGGTTACTACATGATTCCATATGTGTTATTTCATAGTTTTGATGTCTTCACTATTATTCTACAATGTAGAAAATAGTAAAAATAAAGAAAAACCCTTGAATGAGTAGGTGTGTCCAAACTTTTGACTGGTACTATATATGCACACAGGCAGGCACACACACAAACACATACGCACATAATGCTCACCTGTGATGCTGTCCACCAGGACCTGCCAGCGTGGTAGCTCCTGTTCCAGCTGTCTTATCTCTTTCTTCTGATGGCGGTCAGAGATCATCAGCTCTGAGAGTAAGGAGAGAATAAGGAAGGGGAGAAGGAGAGATGACGCAACAGATTTCTACTCCAATAAACCATTAACATGCATTCAGTTGCTCTGAATTTGGTAAATTAAGCACCTTCTTAGACTCCTTTTTATGTGTTAGTAATGTGTAATTTATATGCAAGAATCTATGGTTGCGTAACTCACCATGCTCCAGCACCTCATCCCTGCTCTCCCTGGGTAACGAGACAGACACTGATTAAAATGACTGACACGGGAGGAGCTCTGAATTTAACCTTAGGGAAACTGAAATTAATTGTGCTCAGAACGTTGACCATTTCTCTTACTTTAGCTTAGAATCGTCCACCAGCTGCTCAGCATCAGAGAAGTTGAGGACTTGGTCGCCTTTAGGGAGAGGTTGGACTGCAAAAGATAATCAAACCATACAATAAGGCTCAATTCACTTAGTTTTAGTTTTCAACAGTCAAACATTTGTGTACAGTTAAAAACTTGTTTGAAATAATTACATTAACTTCACTCCATGGATGTCAAGTGATAATAATATAATAATAATAATAATAAGTGATGGGCTAAGAGAGTGTGGCAGTGTTCCAAATGGCACCACTACTTTTGACCAACTAAAAGGGAATAGGGTGCCATTTGGTATGTAACCTGCGTAAGTTGAGTTTCTCTCACCACTCTGGTCCTCCAGCAGGTAGTACTGTTTGAGTAGCTGCCAGTGCACCAGCAAGCTCTTGGGAGTGCGGGAGGGGTAGAACACACTAGGGTGCTTACTCAGCATCTCCTGGAACACCTCCAGCTTGGGCTGACTGCTCTGTTCATCAGAAAACACAAACACACACTTATTCAAACATGTATTAAAACAAATGCACACACTTCTTCAAACTGACACAAATACAGTGCCATCAATCACACACATGTAAAATAGATACATATTTCACCACTTGGCTGAAGTGTATATAAATTAGTCTATATACACATGTATATCAAGTCCACACCATATGTATTTAGACAATTAAGTTAAAATCTACATGTGGCTCTAAACTCCAGCATTTTGTATTGAATGTCATCTTTTATTTGAGGGTATTTTCATACAGATCTGTTGTTGTTGTTGTTGTTGTTGTTTTTTTGGGAGGGGGGGGGTAGATCAGCTTTAATATTGCAGATAGATTGTGGCTTCCATCAATGTAATTGTCTGCATCATTTCCAATCCCCCATATTTTTTTCATAAATATATACAGTGCATTCGGAAAGTATTCAGACCCCTTGACTTTTGACATTTTGTTACATTACAGCCTTATTCTAAAATGGATTAAATTGTTTTATTCCCTCATCAATCTACACACAATACCCCATAGTGACAAAGCAAAAACAGGTTTATATAAATTTTTGCAAATGTATAAAAAATTAACAACTGAAATATCACTTTTACGTATTCAGACCCTTTACTAAGTACTTTGCTGAAGCACCTTTGGCAGTGATTACAGCCTCAAGTCTTCTTGGGTATGATGCCACAAGCTTGGCACACCTGTATTTGGGGAGTTTCTCCCATTCTTCTCTGCAGATCCTCTCAAGTGTCGCTGAACAGCTATTTTCAGGTCTCTCCAGAGATGTTCGATCGGGTTCAAGTCCGGGCTCTGGCTGGGCCACTCAAGGACATTCAGAGACTTGTCCCGAAGCCACTCCTGCATTGTCTTTGCTGTGTGCTTAGGGTCGTTGTCCTGTTGAAAGGTGAACCTTCGCCCCCAGTCTGAGGTCATGAGCGCTCTGGAGCAGGTTTTCATCAAGGATTTCTCTGTATCTTTGCTCCGTTCTTCTTTCCCTCAATCTTGACTAGTCTCACAGTCGCTGCCGCTGAAAAACATCCCCACAGCATGATGCTGCCACCACCATGCTTCACCATAGGGATGGTGCCAGGTTTCCTCCAGACGTGACGCTTAGCATTCAGGCCAAAGAGTTCAATTTTGGTTTCATCAGACCAGAGAATCTTGTTTCTCATGGTCAGAGTCCTTTAGGTGCCTTTTAGCAAACTCCAAGCGGGCTGTCATGTGCCTTTTACTGAGGAGTGGCTTCCGTCTGGCCACTCTAACATAAAAGCCTGATTGGTGGAGTGCTGCAGAGATGGTTGTCCTTCTGGAAGGTTCTCCTATCTCCACAGAGGAACTCTGGAGCTCTGTCAGAGTGACCATCGGGTTTCTTGGTCACCTCCCTGACCAAGGCCCTTCAACCCTGATTGCTCAGTTTGGCTGGGTGGCCAGCTTTAGGAAGAGTCTTAGTGGTTCCAAACTTCTTCCATTTAAGAATGATGGAGGCCACTGTGTTCTTGGGGACCTTCAATGCTGCAGACATTTTTTGGTACCTTGTCTCGGAGCTCTATGGAGCTTGACTGCGGCCCAGTCTCCGAAGGGAGGGGATCATGCTCTGCTTCAGTATGTCACAGTACATGTTGGCATTCATGGTTCCCTCAATGAACTGTAGCTCCCCAGTGCCGGCAGCACTCATGCAGCCCCAGACCTTTTTTATTTTTATTTTTTTATTTCACCTTTATTTAACCAGGTAAGCCAGTTGAGAACAAGTTCTCATTTACAACTGCGACCTGGCCAAGATAAAGCATAGCAGTGCGATAAAAACAACAACACAGAGTTACATATGGGGTAAAAAAAACATAAAGTCACTCCCACCACCATGCTTGACTGTAGGCAAGACACACTTGTCTTTGTACTCCTCACCTGGTTGCCGCCACACACGCTTGACACCATCTGAACCAAATAAGTTTATCTTGGTCTCATCAGACCACAGGACATGGTTCCAGTAATCCATGTCCTTAGTCTGCTTGTCTTCAGCAAACTGTTTGCGGGCTTTCTTGTGCATCATCTTTAGAAGAGACTTCCTTCTGGGACGACAGCCATGCAGACCAATTTGATGCAGTGTGCGGCGTATGATCTGAGCACTGACAGGCTGACCCCCCCACCCCTTCAACCTCTGCAGCAATGCTGGGAGCACTCATACGTCTATTTCCCAAAGACAACCTCTGGATATGATGCTGAGCACGTGCACTCAACTTCTTTGGTCGACCATGGCGAGGCCTGTTCTGAGTGGAACCTGTCCTGTTAAACCGCTGTATGGTCTTGGCCACCGTGCTGCAGCTCAGTTTCAGGGTCTTGGAAATCTTCTTATAGCCCAGGCCATCTTTATGTAGATTAACAATTATTTTTTTCAGATCCTCAGAGAGTTCTTTGCCATGAGGTGCCATGTTGAACTTCCAGTGACCCGTATGAGGGAGTGTGAGAGAGATGACACCAAATTTAACACACCTGCTCCCCATTCACACCTGAGACCTTGTAACACTAATGAGTCACATGACACCGGGGAGGGAAAATGGCTAATTGGGCCCAATTTGGACATTTTCACTTAGGGGTGTACTCACTTTTGCTGCCAGCGGTTTAGACATTAACGGCTGTGTGTTTAGTTATTTTGAGGGGACAGGACATTTACACTGTTATACAAGCTGTACACTCACTACTTTACATTGTAACAAAGTGTCATTTCTTCAGTGTTGTCACATGAAAAGATATACTCAAATATTTACAAAAATGTGAGGGGTGTACTCACTTTTGTGAAATACTGTATATAAAAAACATTATATTGGTTGCAAGAATTTTGTATAATAATTTAAATCGAAAAATTCAAAGTTTTGAATCCGGCGTAGTTATGTGTATCAGTTCATAAACCATGTGCCATGGAATCGGTACATCGAAAATCTCTTCCCAACTATTTTGCAATCTATATGGCACAGCTGTCAATTTTTTACTCCTTAAATTAAACTGGTATACTTTTATTTATCACAATTTTCTTTAGCCAATTTTGGTCTTTAATGCAGGGCGACAGACAAGTTCCTTACTTTCTCCCCCTTCCATTTCCCTGTTCCATTTTTGCGGTAATGCTGCAATTAGTTGGTTGTAATTTTGAGTACAGCAGACATTTACATATATTTTTGTTAGCAGCATGTGTGACAACTACACCAGTCCTACTAATGATATAATTTACAAAAGATACCTTTTAAAAACATTTCCCCCCCAAAATAAACATTTAATCAATTAATATAATTGAGTTTAACCATAATATTTGTTGTAATATTTGTTCTGTCTTTTCTGGTGGATTAAACAGAAATTGCAACCAACTTTCTATGGCTTGTTTTAAAAATAGCAATATTTTGGAGATTATTTCATTTTCAAATAACCGAAAGTGAGAGTTTGTAATCTGAATAAAGGGAAAAAGGCCATTCTTGAACATGGGGTGAGACATTTTTACTAATCTGCTAGAGAACCAGTCCGGATTTAAGTATAACTTTTGTATGACTGACGCCTTTAGTGAGAGGTCTAATACTTTAATATTTAATCATTTCTGCCCTCTGAATTCATATTCATTATATAAATAGGCCCATTTAATTTTGTCTGGCTTGCCATTCCAAATAAAATTGAATATTTTTTGCTAATATACAGTGGGGAAAAAAAGTATTTAGTCAGCCACCAATTGTGCAAGTTCTCCCACTTAAAAAGATGAGAGAGGCCTGTAATTTTCATCATAGGTACACGTCAACTATGAGAGACAAAATTAGGAAAAGAAATCCAGAAAATCACATTGTAGGATTTTTAATGAATTTATTTGCAAATTATGGTGGAAAATAAGTATTTGGTCAATAACAAAAGTTTCTCAATACTTTGTTATATACCCTTTGTTGGCAATGACACAGGTCAAATGTTTTCTGTAAGTCTTCACAAGGTTTTCACACACCGTTGCTGGTATTTTGGCCCATTCCTCCATGCAGATCTCCTCTAGAGCAGTGATGTTTTGGGGCTGTCGCTGGACAACACGGACTTTCAACTCCCTCCAAAGATTTTCTATGGGGTTGAGATCTGGAGACTGGCTAGGCCACTCCAGGACCTTGAAATGCTTCTTACGAAGCCACTCCTTCGTTGCCCGGGCGGTGTGTTTGGGATCATTGTCATGCTGAAAGACCCAGCCACGTTTCATCTTCAATACCCTTGCTGATGGAAGGAGGTTTTCACTCAAAATCTCACGATACATGGCCCCATTCATTCTTTCCTTTACACGGATCAGTCGTCCTGGTCCCTTTGCAGAAAAACAGCCCCAAAGCATGATGTTTCCACCCCCATGCTTCACAGTAGGTATGGTGTTCTTTGGATGCAACTCTGCATTCTTTGTCCTCCAAACACGACGAGTTGAGTTTTTACCAAAAAGTTCTATTTTGGTTTCATCTGACCATATGACTTTCTCCCAATCCTCTTCTGGATCATCCAAATGCACTCTAGCAAACTTCAGACGGGCCTGGACATGTACTGGCTTAAGCAGGGGGACACGTCTGGCACTGCAGGATTTGAGTCCCTGGCGGCGTAGTGTGTTACTGATGGTAGGCTTTGTTACTTTGGTCCCAGCTCTCTGCAGGTCATTCACTAGGTCACCCCGTGTGATTCTGGGATTTTTGCTCACCGTTCTTGTAATCATTTTGACCCCACAGGGTGAGATCTTGCGTGGAGCCCCAGATCGAGGGAGATTATCAGTGGTCTTGTATGTCTTCCATTTCCTAATAATTGCTCCCACAGTTGATTTCTTCAAACCAAGCTGCTTACCTATTGCAGATTCAGTCTTCCCAGCCTGGTGCAGGTCTACAATTTTTGTTTCTGGTGTCCTTTGACAGCTCTTTGGTCTTGGCCATAGTGGAGTTTGGAGTGTGACTGTTTGAGGTTGTGGACAGGTGTCTTTTATACTGATAACAAGTTCAAACAGGTGCCATTAATAGAGGTAACGAGTGGAGGACAGAGGAGCCTCTTAAAGAAGAAGTTACAGGTCTGTGAGAGCCAGAAATCTTGCTTGTTTGTAGGTGACCAAATACTTATTTTCCACCATAATTTGCAAATAAATTCATTAAAAATCTTACAATGTGATTTTCTGGATTTCTTTTCCTCAATTTGTAGGCCTCTCATCTTTTTAAGTGGGAAAACTTGCACAATTGGTGGCTGACTAAATACTTTTTTTCCCCACTGTAATTTTAAAAACAAGTCACTAGGTGTAGGCAAGACCATAAGCAAATACATATCTGTTTTACCATTTAGAAATGAAAGCACTTTATGCTTCTATTCCCCCTCATTTGAAGAAATCATAAGTATTTGGACAAATTCACCTATTGTGTATTAAAGTAGCCAATTGTTTAGTATTTGGTACCAGATTCCTTGCACACAATGACTAGAATAAAGCTTGGGACTCTCCAAACTCGTTGGATGCATTTGCAGTTTGTTTTGGTTATGTTTTGCCCAATATTAACTGAATGGTGAATGATAACTGGAGTAATATACAGTTGAATTCGGAAATGTACATACACCTTAGCCAAATACATTTAAACTCAGTTTTTCACAATTCCTGACATTTAATCCTAGTAAAAATTCCCTGTCTTAGGTCAGTTAGGATCACCACTTTATTTTAAGAATGTGAAAGGTCAGAATAATAGCAGAGAATGATTTATTTCAGCTTTTATTTATTTCATCACATTCCCAGTGGGTCAGAAGTTTACATACACTCAATTAGTATTTGGTAGCATTGCCTTTTAATTGTTTAACTTGGGTCAAACGTTTCGGGTAGCCTTCCACAAGCTTCCCACAATAAGTTGGGTGAATTTTGGCCCATTCCTCCTAACAGAGATGGTGTAACTGAGTCAGGTTTGTAGGCCTCCTTGCTCGCACACATGCTTTTTCAGTTCTGCCCACACATTTTCTATAGGATTGAGGTCAGGGCTTTGTGATGGCCACTCCAATACCTTGACTTTGTTGTCCTTAAGCCATTTTGCCACAAATTTGGAAGTATGCTTGGGGTCATTGTCCATTTGGAAGAACAATTTGCGACCAAGCTTTAACTTCCTGACTGATGTCTTGAGATGTTGCTTCAATATATGCACATCATTTTCCTTCCTCATGATGCCATCTATTTTGTGAAGTGCACCAGTCCCTCCTGCAGCAAAGCACCCCCACAGCATGATGCTGCCACCCCCGTGCTTCACAGTTGAGATGGTGTTCTTCAGCTAGCAAGTTCCCCCTTTTTCCTCCAAACATAACGATTATCATTATGGCCAAACAGTTCTATTTTTGTTTCATCAGTCCAGAGGACATTTATCCAAAAAGTACGATCTTTGTCCCCATGTGCAGTTGCAAACCGTAGTCTGTTTTTTTTATGGCGGTTTTGGAGCAGTGGCTTCTTCCTTGCTGAGCGGCCTTTCAGGTTATGTCGATATAGGTCTCGTTTTACTGTGGATATAGATACTTTTGTACCTGTTTCCTCCAGCATCTTCACAAGGTCCTTTGCTGTTGTTCTGGGATTGATTTGCACTTTTCACACCAAAGTACGTTCATCTCTAGGAGACAGAACGCTTCTCCTTCCTGAGCGGTATGATGGCTGCGTGGTCCCATGGTGTTTATACTTGCGTACTATTGTTTGTACAGATGAACGTGGTACCTTCAGTCGTTTTGAAATTGCTCCCAAGGATGAACCAGACTTGTGGAGGTTTACAACTTATTTTCGGAAGTCTTGGCTGATTCATTTTGATTTTCCCATGATGTCAAGTGAAGAGGCACTGAGTTTGAAGGTAGGCCTTGAAATACATCCACAGGTACACCTCCAATTTACTGAAATGATGTCAATTAGCCTATTTGAAGCTTCTAAAGCCATTACATCATTTTCTGGAATTTTCCAAGCTGTTTAAAAGCACAGTCAACTTAGTGTATGTAAACTTCTGACTTGTGATACAGTGAATTATAAGTTAAATAATCTATCTGTAAACAATTGTTGGAAAAATTACTTGCGTCATGCACAAAGTAGATGTCCTAACCAACTTGCCAAAACTATAGTTTGTTAACAAGAAATGTGTGGAGTGGTTGAAAAACGAGTTTTAATGACTCCAATCTAAGTGTATGTAAACTTCCGACTTCAACTGTAAGTGTTCAGAAACATCTATTCTTACTTATAATGAAAGTGACTCCAAAATGATACAAGATATTATTTACCATTCAGTTCCTATTGGGCAAAACGTAATTCAAAACACAACGAAAACAAACTAAAAATGCATCCAGCAAGTTTGAAGAGTCACAAGTTTGATGTAGTCATTGAGTGCAAGGAATATGGGACCAAATATTAAACTTGACTTTTTTAATACACTTTACACTCTTCAAACTAGATACATGACGCGCTTTCATTTCTAAACAGTACAACAGATATGTATGAAAATACCCTCAAATAAAAGGTGGCATTCTGTACTGTCACCTAATATTAAACATTCTATCTCAAATTCAAAATACTGGAGTATAAAGCCACATTTAAATGTTTAGCTTCACTGTGCAAATACATATGGTGTGGACTGTATATGGTTCTGGTTTATGGTGTTTATTATCTCTGAACTGTGTGTATGATTAAAAGGTTGAGAAGTAATGGAGAGCATCAATCCTTTACGTAAGTCTATATTTGGCCGTTGCTTTGTGTAGTAGGAGCTGACTGACTCCATATTTCAAGAGCAAGAGCTGGGTCTTCTTCACCTCATGTGACTCCATATTTCAAACCCCATAGAAACCCGAGACTCACTCACTGAGGGAATCTTAGCCAGCAGAGCCTCCTCAGCCTGACTGAAGAGCGCTTTGCTCTGGATCGCAGCAATGGCCTCCGGATGAAGCTGTCGCATCGCCTGCCATGCCAACCTACAACACAATTTGTTGTCTATTACAATAACAGTTTTGAGGTTAAATAACTAAGGGGAAAACAGATTTGATAGTGGTGGTTAAATGTGGTAGAGGGAGAGAGAAAGAAAGAGAGAGGAAGGAAAAAGATAGGAGGAAGTGGATAGTAGGAGATGGCCAGGGGCAGTGATGTAGTCAAGTCACTAAACCTTGAGTCTGAGTCCCAAGTCCTTTGTGTTCGAGTCCGAGTCCAAGTCTGAGTCCTTTATACTCGAATCACGAGTCCCTTGGTAGTGCTAAAAGCTGCAGTCCACCCATTTTTTTGTTTTTGTACTTTTACCCCTTTTTCTCCCCAATTTTGTAATATCCAATTGGTAGTTACAGTCTTGTCCCATCGCTGCAACTCCCCTATGGACTCGGGAGAGGCGAAGGTCGAGAGCACGATCCTGCCAAGCTGCACTGCTTCTTGACACACTGCTCGCTTAACCCGGAAGCCAGCTGCACCAATGTGTTGGAGGAAACACCGTCCAGCTGGCGACCAATGTCAGCTTGCAGGCGCCCGGCCCCCACAAGGAGTCGCTAGAGCGCGATGGGACAAGGAAATCCCGGCCGGCCAAACCCTCCCCTAACCCGGACGACGTTGGGCCGATTGTGTGCCGCTTCATTGGTCTCCCGGTCACAGCCTGGGATCGAACCCTGGTCTGTAGTGACGCCTCAAGCACTGCGATGCAGTGCCTTAGACCGCTGTGCTACTCAGGCCTGTCCAACTATTTGTAAAGCTACATTTCATTACACTGTTGCTCATTTTTTAAAGGCTAAATCAGACCATAACTCTATCCTCCTGCTTACAAGCAAAAACTCAAACAGGAAGTAACAGTGATGTGCTCAATATGGAAGTGGCCTGATGAAGCGGATGATAAGCTATAGGACTATTTCGATAGCATGTACAGGAATATGTTCCGGAATTCATCCGATAACATTGAGGAGTTTACCACATCAGTCACTGGATTCATTGACTTATTCCACATTTTGTTGTGTTACAGCCTGAATTCAAAATGGATAATTTTGTTTTATTAAATTACTCATCTACACACAATACCCTATAATAACAAAGTGAAAACATGATTTTAGAAATGTGTGCATATTTATAGAAAATGAAATACAGAAATATCTCATTTACATAAGTATTCACATCAGTCAGTAAATGTTAGAATCACTTTTGGCAGCGATTACAGCGGAGTCTTTCTTGATAAGAGCTTTGCACACCTGGATTGTACAATATTTGCATATTATTCTTTTTTTAATTCTTCAAACTCTGTCAAGTTGGTTGTTGATCATTGCTAAACAGCCATTTTCAAGTCTTGCCATAGATTTTCTAAATGACTTAAGTCAAAACCATAAGTAGTCTTGGTAAACAACTCCAGTGTATATTTGGCCTTGTGTTTTAGGTTATTGTCCTGCTGAAAGGTGAATTTTATTTTTTTATTTTATATATACAGTGGGGGAAAAAGTATTTAGTCAGCCACCAATTGTGCAAGTTCTCCCACTTAAAAAGATGAGAGAGGCCTGTAATTGTCATCATAGGTACACGTCAACTATGACAGACAAAATGAGAAAAAAAATCCAGAAAATCACATTGTAGGATTTTTAATGAATTTATTTGCTAATTATGGTGGAAAATAAGTATTTGGTCAATAACAAAAGTTTCTCAATACTTTGTTATATACCCTTTGTTGGCAATGACACAGGTCAAACGTTTTCTGTAAGTCTTCACAAGGTTTTCACACACTGTTGCTGGTATTTTGACCCATTCCTCAAATCAAATCAAATCAAATTTTATTGGTCACATGCGCCGAATACAACAGGTGCAGACATTACAGTGAAATGCTTACTTACAGCCCTTAACCAACAGTGCATTTATTTTTAACAAAAAAAGTAAAAATAAAACAACAACAAAAAAAGAGCAGAAGTAAAATAAAATAACAGTAGGGAGGCTATATATACACAGGGGGGTACCGTTGCAGAGTCAATGTGCGGGGGCACCGGCTAGTTGAGGTAGTTGAGGTAATATGTACATGTGGGTAGAGTTAAAGTGACTATGCATAAATAATTAACAGAGTAGCAGCAGCATAAAAAGGATGGGGTGGGGGGGGGCAGTGCAAATAGTCCGGGTAGCCATGATTAGTGTTCAGGAGTCTTATGGCTTGGGGTAGAAGCTGTTGAGAAGCCTTTTGGACCTAGACTTGGCGCTCCGGCACCGCTTGCCTTGCGGTAGCAGAGAGAACAGTCTATGACTAGGGTGGCTGGAGTCTTTCACAATTTTGAGGGCCTTCCTCTGACACCGCCTGGTATAGAGGTCCTGGATGGCAGGAAGCTTGGCCCCAGTGATGTACTGGGCCGTACGCACTACCCTCTGTAGTGCCTTGCGGTCGGAGGCCAAGCAGTTGTCATACCAGGCGGTGATGCAACCAGTCAGGATGCTCCATTCCTCCATGCAGATCTCTTCTAGAGCAGTGATGTTTTGGGGCTGTCGCTGGGCAACACGGACTTTCAACTCCCTCCAAAGATTTTCTATGGGGTTGAGATCTGGAGACTGGCTAGGCCACTCCAGGACCTTGAAATGCTTCTTACGAAGCCACTCCTTCGTTGCCCGGGCGGTGTGTTTGGGATCATTGTCATGCTGAAAGACCCAGCCACGTTTCATCTTCAATGCCCTTGCTGATGGAAGGAGGTTTTCACTCAAAATCATCTGACCATATGACATTCTCCCAATCCTCTTCTGGATCATCCAAATGCACTCTAGCAAACTTCAGACGGGCCTGGACATGTACTGGCTTAAGCAGGGGGACACGTCTGGCACTGCAGGATTTGAGTCCCTGGCGGCGTAGTGTGTTACTGATGGTAGGCTTTGTTACTTTGGTCCCAGCTCTCTGCAGGTCATTCACTAGGTCCCCCCGTGTGGTTCTGGGATTTTTGCTCACCGTTCTTGTGATCATTTTGACCCCACGGGTGAGATCTTGCGTGGAGCCCCAGATCGAGGGAGATTATCAGTGGTCTTGTATGTCTTCCATTTCCTAATAATTGCTCCCACAGTTGATTTCTTCAAACCAAGCTGCTTACCTATTGCAGATTCAGTCTTCCCAGCCTGGTGCAGGTCTACAATTTTGTTTCTGGTGTCCTTTGACAGCTCTTTGGTCTTGGCCATAGTGGAGTTTGGAGTGTGACTGTTTGAGGTTGTGGACAGGTGTCTTTTATACTGATAACAAGAAAAACTTCTTAAAGAAAAACTAACAGGTCTGTGAGAGCCGGAATTCTTACTGGTCAAATACTTATGTCATGCAATAAAATGCAAATTAATTACTTAAAAATCATACAATGTGATTTTCTGGATTTTTGTTTTAGATTCCGTCTCTCACAGTTGAAGTGTACCTATGATAACAATTACAGACGTCTACATTCTTTGTAAGTAGGAAAACCTGCAAAATCGGCAGTGTATCAAATACTTGTTCTCCCCACTGTATATTGATTTGCATTTTAATGAGGGAAATAAGTATTTGACCAGAAAGATTTCTGGCTCCCAGGTGTCTTTTATACAGGTAACGAGCTGAGATTAGGAGCACACTCTTAAAGGGAGTGCTCCTAATCTTAGCTTGTTACCTGTATAAAAGACACCTGTCCACAGAAGCAATCAATCAATCAGATTCCAAACTCTCCACCATGGCCAAGACCAAAGAGCTCTCCAAGGATGTCAGGGACAAGATTGTAGACCTACACAAGGCTGGAATGGGCTACAAGACCATCGCCAAGCAGCTTGGTGAGAAGGTGACAACAATTGGTGCGATTTTTCGCAAATGGAAGAAACACAAAAGAACTGTCAATCTCCCTCGGCCTGGGGCTCCATGCAAGATCTCATCTCGTGGAGTTGCAATGATCATGAGAACGGTGAGGAATCAGCCCAGAACTACACGGGAGGATCTTGTCAATGATCTCAAGGCAGCTGGGACCATAGTCACCAAGAAAACAATTGGTAACACACTACGCCGTGAAGGACTGAAATCCTGCAGCGCCCGCAAGGTCCCCCTGCTCAAGAAAGCACATATACATGCCCGTCTGAAGTTTGCCAGTGAACATCTGAATGATTCAGAGGAGAACTGGGTGAAAGTGTTGTGGTCAGATGAGACCAAAATCGAGCTCTTTGGCAACAACTCAACTCGCCGTGTTTGGAGGAGGAGGAATGCTGCCTATGATCCCAAGAACACCATCCCCACCGTCAAACATGGAGGTGGAAACATTATGCTTTGGGGGTGTTTTTTCTGCTAAGGGGACAGGACAACTTCACCGCATCAAAGGGACGATGGACGGGGCCATGTACCGTCAAATCTTGGGTGAGAACCCCCTTCCCTCAGCCAGGGCATAGAAAATGGGTCGTGGATGGGTATTCCAGCATGACAATGACCCAAAACACACGGCCAAGGCAACAAAGGAGTGGCTCAAGAAGAAGCACATTAAGGTCCTGGAGTGGCCTGGCCAGTCTCCAGACCTTAATCCCATAGAAAATCTGTGGAGGGAGCTGAAGGTTCGAGTTGCCAAACGTCAGGCTCGAAACCTTAATGACTTGGAGAAGATCTGCAAAGAGGAGTGGGACAAAATCCCTCCTGAGATGTGTGCAAACCTGGTGGCCAACTACAAGAAATGTCTGACCTCTGATTGCCAACAAGGGTTTTGCCACCAAGTACTAAGTAATGTTTTGCAGAGGGGTCAAATACTTATTTCCCTCATTAAAATGCAAATCAATTTATAACATTTTTGACATGTGTTTTTCAGGATTGTTTTGTTGTTATTCTGTCTCTCACTGTTCAAATAAACCTACCATTAAAATTATAGACTGATCATGTCTTTGTCAGTGGGCAAACATACAAAATCAGCAGGGGATCAAAAAAATGTTCCCCTCACTGTGTGTGTGTGTGTGTGTGTGTGTGTATATATATATATATATATATATATATATATATACACATATATACACACACACAGTGGGGGAAAAAAGTATTTAGTCAGCCACCAATTGTGCAAGTCCTCCCACTTAAAAAGATGAGAGAGGCCTATAATTTTCATCATAGGTACACATCAACTATGACAGACAAAATGAGAAAAAAAAATCCAGAAAATCACATTGTAGGCTTTTTAATGAATTTATTTGCAAATTATGGTGGAAAATAAGTATTTGGTCACCTACAAACAAGCAAGATTTCTGGCTCTCACAGACCTGTAACTTCTTCTTTAAGAGGCTCCTCTGTCCTCCACTCGTTACCTGTATTAATGGCACCGGTTTGAACTTGTTATCAGTATAAAAGACACCTGTCCACAACCTCAAACAGTCACACTCCAAACTCCACTATGGCCAAGACCAAAGAGCTGTCAAAGGACACCAGAAACAAAATTGTAGACCTGCACCAGGCTGGGAAGACTGAATCTGCAATAGGTAAGCAGCTTGGTTTGAAGAAATCAACTGTGGGAGCAATTATTAGGAAATGGAAGACATACAAGACCACTGATAATCTCCCTCGATCTGGGGCTCCACGCAAGATCTCACCCCGTGGGGTCAAAATGATCACAAGAACGGTGAGCAAAAATCCCAGAACCACACGGGGGGACCTAGTGAATGACCTGCAGAGAGCTGGGACCAAAGTAACAAAGCCTACCATCAGTAACACACTACGCCGCCAGGGACTCAAATCCTGCAGTGCCAGACGTGTCCCCCTGCTTAAGCCAGTACATGTCCAGGCCCGTCTGAAGTTTGCTAGAGTGCATTTGGATGATCCAGAAGAGGATTGGGAGAATGTCATATGGTCAGATGAAACCAAAATAGAACTTTTGGGTAAAAACTCAACTCGTCGTGTTTGGAGGACAAAGAATGCTGAGTTGCATCCAAAGAACACCATACCTACTGTGAAGCATGGGGGTGGAAACATCATGCTTTGGGGCTGTTTTTCTGCAAAGGGACCAGGACGACTGATCCGTGTAAAGGAAAGAATGAATGGGGCCATGTATCGTGAGATTTTGAGTGAAAACCTCCTTCCATCAGCAAGGGCATTGAAGATGAAACGTGGCTGGGTCTTTCAGCATGACAATGATCCCAAACACACCGCCCGGGCAACGAAGGAGTGGCTTCGTAAGAAGCATTTCAAGGTCCTGGAGTGGCCTAGCCAGTCTCCAGATCTCAACCCCATAGAAAATCTTTGGAGGGAGTTGAAAGTCCGTGTTGCCCAGCGACAGCCCCAAAACATCACTGCTCTATAGGAGATCTGCATGGAGGAATGGGCCAAGATACCAGCAACAGTGTGTGAAAACCTTGTGAAGACTTACAGAAAACGTTTGACCTGTGTCATTGCCAACAAAGGGTATATAACAAAGTATTGAGAAACTTTTGTTATTGACCAAATACGTATTTTCTACCATAATTTGCAAATACATTCATTAAAAATCCTACAATGTGATTTTCTGGATTTTCTTTTATCATTTTGTCTGTCATAGTTGACGTGTACCTATGATGAAAATTACAGGCCTCTCATCTTTTTAAGTGGGAGAACTTGCACAATTGGTGGCTGACTAAATACTTTTTTTCCCCACTGTACATACATATCCTTTTTAAATATATTTCCCTTTATTACTTTCCAACCCCACCACCCCTTCCCTAATTGGAGCAAACTAGTGAACAACAATGCTTAGGCCTCTACTTACAGCATATACTTATTATATACATTTTATGGACACAGTCAATTTTACAATCATTCTATTTTGTTTGTTTTTACTGCTGAACTTCCTCTACCCTCAACCTCTCTGATCATTTTCATGATGTCCATCCGGTTTGCTTCTATATGCCATATCTTTCTAACTGTGCTCTTTCACAAAAGCTCTCAACCTATAACCTATTATGGACACAGTATGCTTACATTATAAGTTATCTTGTTGTTATTAGTTGTTGTTAGATGTTATTATTCCCATCCTTCAACTCCATTCAACACCACCCATCTATCTCTTAACACCATCCATATTGGATTTCTATTTGCCATATATTTGTCCAAAAACACGCTACAAATGGACAGTACCAAAACAAATGATCTAATGATTCTGTCTCTTCGCAGGAAAATCTGCAGAGCTGGGAAGATTGTATCCCCCATATGAATCACATTCTATTGATAGCAAGAATTTTATAATATTTTTAATTGAAAAATTGAAAAGGTGAATTTGTCTCCCCAGTGTCTGTTGGAAAGTGCTTTGCTCTATTCTGTTTCTTTTTATTTTAAAAAAATCCCTAGTCCTTGCCAATGACAAGCATACCCATAACATGATGCAGCCACCACCAAGCTTGAAAATATTAAGAGTGGTACTCAGTGATGTGTTGTGTTGGATTTGCCCCAAACATAACGCTTTGTATTCAGGACATCAAGTTAATTTCTTTGCCACATTTTTTGCAGTTCTACTTTAGTGCCATATTGCAAACAGGATGCATGTTTTGGAATACAGTAATCCCTCGTTTATCGCGGGGGTTACGTTCCGAAAATGACCCGCGATAAGTGAAATCCGCGAAATAGAAAACTTTTTTTTTTTACAATTAGCAACTATTACATGTATACAAATACAGTGACTCACGTGTAGGCCGTTTCACTGCTCTTCAGACTGGGCCGCTGCATCCTGACTGCGCTCTGCAGTGTTCTCTTCTTCTGAAGCCCGCGGTGCAGGTGTGTTTGTTCGGGAGAAGAACATAGTGATAGGCAGCTGTTGTCGCTCTTTTTTCTTCTTTGCAAAAAGATCCTTGTACACCGACATGCCACCATCGATTACGTTGGAGAACTGTAATGAACGGCTCATCAAAGGGTCCCATTCCTCAGCTACTCGCTTAAGTTCAGTGGCCATTCGCACCATGGTTGCTAAGCGACCAAGCGTTAGTCCTTCCTCCTCATCTCTCGTGTCCTCTTCTCCCTCTTCTCTTTCATCGTCGCTTTGTGGCTTTGTCATTTACCTTCCCTTAGCATGTCCAGAAGTTTAACTTTATCTGAGATAGGTAGCATCTTCCGCCGTTTGGGCCCATCCGCAGGTGCTTTTGTCGGTCCAGGCCGTTTCGTCGACATTATGGGTTTAGGAGATGTTCGAAATTACAAGATAATTTGGCCAACTTAATGTAAATTTGCCAAGCTGTTTTATGTACGTACACATAACTGCACGAGACGACAAAATGATAGCACAATTCGTAGCATGTTTTGATACAAGAAGCGGGAGTGAGTTTTTAGCGAATCAGAATGCAGAGCACAATGCACCAAAAAAAAAAAAATGCATTATGAAAATCCGCGAAATAGCGAATCCGCGATAAGTGAACCGCGAAGTGGCGAGGGATCACTGTATTTGTATTCTGTATAGGCTTCCTTCTTTTCACTCTGTCATTTAGGTTAGTATTGTGGAGTAACTACAATGTTGTTGATCCATCCTCAGTTTTCTCCAATCACAGCCATTAAACTCTGTAACTGTTTTAAAGTAACCATTGGCCTCATGGTGAAATCCCTGAGCGGTTTCCTTGCTCTCCGGCAACGGAGTTAGGAAGGACACCTGTATCTTTCTGGTGACTAGGTGTATTGATACACCATCCAAAGTGTAATTAACTTCACCACACTCAAAGGGATATTCAATGTTGTTTAGTTTTTTTACCCATCTACCAATGGCTGTCGTCCGTTGCGAGGCATTGGAAAACCTCCTTGGTGTTTGTGGTTTAATCTATGTTTGAAATTCACTGCTCGACTGAGGGACCTTACAGATAATTGTATGTGTGGGGTACAGAGATGAGGTAGTCATAAAAAAAATCATTTAAAAACACAATTCATGTACAGATTGAGTCCATGCAATTTATGTGACTTGTTAAGCACATTTTTACTCCTGAACTTACTGTACTTAGGTTTGCCATAACAAAGGGGTTGAATACTTATTGGCTCAAGACATTTCAGCTTTTCATTTGTAATTAATTTGTAAAAATGTCTCAACATAATTCCACTTAGACATTATGGGATATTGTGTGAAGGCTAGTGTTACAGGCTTTGGTTTTTCCATTTATATTTCGAGGTTGGACGTCAGCGCGTGGGGCGCACCGATTGGTGTCACCTCGTTAGTCAGTATGTGTTACACCTGTGCTGGCTTGTCCATCTCGTTAGTCGGAAGATGTTTCACTTGTGCTGGCCCAGGTGATATTTAAGAGTGGCTGGCCCAGTGCTCCAGTTTTCTTGAGAAATGTGGAGGCTTAAAACCTTTAGTTGGCTCTCTTTGATTTCTAGAAAAACAATCCTTTATCTGAGCTTCCCTGTTTTTGTTTTCTCCACTTTTTGGTATGCTTCCTGTCTAAGTTTGGTGTGGGTTTTTCTTTTGTTTGCCTCTTCTTAGGCTACTTTAGTGGGCACTCATGATAGGTGTCTTTTAGGTCCCAGTTGTTGTTGTTAGTCAACTTTCAGTGGACACCCCCATTAGTGTCTTTAAGAACCCCCATTAGTGTCTCTCAGAACACCTCCTAAAACCCCACCTGTTTAGTTTTGGTTGTTGTCAGTGACTCTTTGTTAGTTCCCCCTTCTGTTTGAACAACAATTTTTTCTTGCTGTGGAATTTAACACCAGTGGCACAAAATCTCAATTTAATCAATTTTGAATTCAGGCTGTAACAACAAAATGTGGAAAAACTAAGGCACCGTCCTGCAAACTTGATGATTGAGTTGGAGGCGTGTGTGGCAGTCATGGGTAGGAGCGGGCTGAGCATGCACCCTTGTGGGGCCCCTGCATTGAGGATCAGCGTAGTGGAGGTGTTGGAGTATTCTACTGTATTATTAGCCCAGAACGTTTTTTGTGTGATTACATACAGCCGGAAATAACCTTTGGATATCAGAGCGGTGGTAACTCACCAGCATCCAGAAATACGACTTTCCCGAATTAGATTATTTGTTTGTACCCACCAAGGCAACTGAAATTATCCCAGAGGCTGCTCCAAGACGCCGCCGGCAGAGAAGAGGTATTCGGAGTGGACTTCTAGTCCGACTCAGGAGGCGTGCACACCATCCACTGCTTCCGAGTATATTACTCGCTAATGTTCAGTCCCTGGACAATAAAGTAGATGAGCTCAGGGCGAGGATCCCCTTCCAGAGAGACATCAGGGACTGTAACATACTCTGTTTCACTGAATCATTGGCTCTCTCCGGATATACTGTACCCGTCCATACAGCCAGCTTGGTTCTCAGTAGTACATTGCACAGACAGGAATAAAGAACTCTCCGGGAAGAAGAAAGGCAGAGGTGTAGGTTTCATGTTTAACTACTCATGATGTGATTGTGATTGCGTACAGGAACTCAAGTCCTTTTGTTCACCCGACCTAGAATACCTCAATCAACCATGACGGCCCTCAAGGAACTACACTAGACTTTGTGCAAACTGGAAACCACATATCCTAAGGCCGCATTTATTGTAGCTGGGGACTTTAACAAAGCAAATTTGAGGAAAACGCTACCGAAGTTCTAGCAACACATTGCCTGTAGTACTCAAACTTCAAAAACTCTCGACCATTGCCCTCCCTTCAGCAAATCAGATCACAACTTAATTCTGCTCCTCCCTTCCAATGGGCAGAAACTCAAACAGGAAATACCCGTGCTAAGGTCTACTCAATGCTGGTCTGACCAATCGGAATCCATGCTTCAAGATTGTTTTGATCACGCGGATTGGGATATGTTCGGGGTTAACTCTGAGAATAACATTGACGTATACACGGAAATGGTGACTGAGTTCATCAGGAAGTGTATGACGGATGTTGTTCCCACTATGACCATTAAAACCTACCCAAACCAAAAACCATGGATAGATGGCAGCATTCACGCAAAACTGAAAGCACGAACCACCGCATTTAACCACGGAAGGTGACTGGGAATATGGTTCAATACAAACAGTGCAGTTATGCCCTCCGTAAGGCAATCAAACAGGCAAAACGTTAGTACGGAGACAAAGTGGAGTTGCAATTCAACGGCTCAGACACAAGACGTATGTGGCAGGGACTCCAGACAATCACGGATTACAAAGGGAAAACCAGCCACGTCGCAGACACCAACATCTTGCTCCCGGACAAGCTTCTATCTCAAGGCCATCAGACTGTTAAATAGCCATCACTAGCCGGCCTCCACCCAGTACCCTGCCCTGAACTTAGTCACTGTCACTAACCAGCTACCACCCGGTTACTCAACCCTGCACTTTAGAGGCTGCTTCCCTATGTACATAGACATGGAATCACTGGTCACTTTAATAATGTAATACTAGTTAATAATGTTTTCATACTGTTTTACTAATTTAATATGTAAACTCAGCGTTTATTTTCAGTAAACTTAACATGTGTAAATATTTGTATGAACATAATAAGATTCAACAACTGAGACATAAACTGAACAAGTTCCACAGACTAACAGAAATGGAATGATGTGTCCCTGAACAAAGGGGGGGTCAAAATCAAAAGTAACAGTCAGTATCTGGTGTGGCCACCAGCTGCATTAAGTACTGCAGTGTATCTCCTCCTCATGGACTGCACCAGATTTGCCAGTTCTTGCTGTGAGATGCTCTTCACTGGCCATGACATTCCTGTCTTGCAGGAAATAACACACAGAACGAGCAGTATGGCTGGTGGCATTGTCATGCTGAAGGGTCATTTCAGGATGCAGGAAGGGTCCCACATGAGGGCGGAGGATGTCTTCCCTGTAACGCATAGCGTTGAGATTGCCTGCAATGACAACAAGCTCAGTCCGATGATGCTGTGACACACCGCCCCAGACCATGACGGACCCTCCACATCGATCCCGCTCCAGAGTACAGACCTCGGTGTAACGCTCATTCCTTCGACGATAAACGCGAATCCGACCATCACCCCTAGTGAGACAAAACCGCGACTTGTCAGTGAAGAGCACTTTTTGCCAGTCCTGTCTGGTCCAGCGACGGTGGGTTTGTGCCCATAGGCGACATTGTTGCCGGTGAGGTCTGGTGAGGACCTGTCTTACAACACGCCTACAAGCCCTCAGTCCAGCCTTTCTCAGCCTATTGCGGACAGTCTGAGCACTGATGGAGGGATTATGCGTTCCTGGTGTAACTCGGGCAACTGTTGTTGCCATCTTGTACCTGTCCCGCAGGTGTGATGTTCGGATGTACACGTGGTCTGCCACTGCGAGGACGATCAGCTGTCCGTCCTGTCTCCCTGTAGCGCCGTCTTAGGCGTCTCACAGTACGGACATTGCAATTTATTGCCCTGGCCACATCTGCAGTCCTCATGCCTCCTTGCAGCATGCCTAAGGCACGTTCACGCAGATGAGCAGGGACCCTGGGCATCTTTCTTTTGGTGTTTTTCAAAGTCAGTAGAAAGGCCTCTTTAGTGTCCTACGTTTTCATAACTGTGACCTTAATTGCCTACCGTCTGTAAGCTGTTAGTGTCTTAACGACCGTCCCACAGGTGCATGTTCATTAATTGTTTATGGTTCATTGAACAAGCATGGGAAACAGTGTTTAAACCCTTTACAATGAAGATCTGTGAAGTTATTTTGATTTTTACGAGTTATCTTTGAAAGACAGGGTCCTGAAAAAGGGACGTTTCTTTTTTTGCTGAGTTTATATAGTGTATTCTAGTCAATGCCACTCCGACGTTGCTCGTCCTAATATTTATTTCTTAATTACATTCTTTTACTTTTAGATTTATGTGTATTGTTAGATACTACTGCACTGTTGGAGCTAGGAACACAAGCATTTAACTACACCTGCAATAATTTCTGCTAAATGTGTATGCGACCAATAACATTTGATTTGATGTGTAGTGATCTTGTGTTGGTTACAAATCTTAGAGCAGCATGGTAAAGAGTACTAATACGAGTTTTTAAAAAATTGACATGGATCAAAACCACTTTCAATGGCATTGGCATAACCAAGAGTCAATGTGTAATCCAAACATTAATGAAATAAACTCATATACCTATAGCTACATAACACAAATGCAGATCTCCAAACATTTACCGATCAATGGCATCACAATTGAATTGTTTCCAAGAATCCACCAATCTATCCACTGGTGGCATGATAAAAACAGCTACTGGGAGGGTTATTGTCATAAAACTATCTGACCTTCCTTTCAGCATTCCCATCCCATTGCTTCTGAACTCATCGGAATTGGAGCACGGGGAGGAGGGGTTAATCGACTTTTGGGTCATTATCATTGTGCAACACTACAACCCAGCCTCTGCATTACCTCAGCACCTCCCTTGAACACAAAATCTCAATTTAATCAATTAAAAATTCCAGCTGCAACAAAATATGGAAAAAGTAAAGGGGTGTGACTACTTTCTGAAGGCACTGTACATACCCCAAACAGAAGCCATGGATCACAGGAAACATCCGCAGTGAGCTAAAGGCTAGAGCTGCCGCTTTCAAGGAGCGGGACACTAATCCAGACTGTGCTGTCTTCACTAAAGCTTTTTTCCCATGAGTGTCTTTTTGCTATACAGACAGCTAAACTCTTCATCACTAAAACTTCCAAGAATCAGGCCGAATATATCTTTAGTTGATTGAATTCAGAAGTGTAAAACTGCAACACAACAAAAGCACAGGATACAAAAGGTAAGTAGAGCACCATATCTTAACACATACAGTACATGAACAATATCTGAATAAGCTGTGACAGTGACAAAACAACATTGTGTGGGTCAATTACAGGTTTGTAGAATAGTTAAGTATTCTGATATAAACATACATTCGCATACAAAGTAGATAGGATTAGGAAAATAGTAGCTACATACATTTGAATGGGGCTAGCGAACAGCTAGGCTAAACAATACATCTCTATGGCAACGGCTGATGGCTAACGGTTAGGACCGTTTGGCTGGCGATCTACTTGATGAGGCATAAAGTAGACAAAATGACTAAATCTAAGCATATAAAAATATACAGGAACGCAAATACTTACAGATGGTGCCATCATAAGGGCAATCAAAGACTGGATGAAGAAGGTATGAACATTTTACATAGAGGAATGGCAAACTTATAGCTAACAAAACCAACTGCGTTCTGGATTCATTTGCCTTTTGGCAAACTCCAAGCAGGCTGTCATGTGCCTTTTACTGAGGAATGGTTTCTGTCTGGCCACTCTAACATAAAGGCCTGATTGGTTGAGTGCTGCAGAGATGGTTGTCCTTCTGGAAGGTTCTCCCATCTCCACAGAGGAACTCTGGAGCTCTGTCAGAGTGACCATCGGGTTCTTGGTCAACTCCCTGACCAAGGCCCTTCTCCCCCGATTGTTCAGTTTGGCCGGGCAGCCAGCTCTATGAAGAGTCTTGGTGGTTCCAAACTTCTTCCATTTAAGAAGGATTGAGGCCACTGTGTTCTTGGGGACCTTCAATGCTGCAGACATTTTTTAGTACCCTTCCCCAGATCTGTGCCTCGACACAATCCTGTCTCTGAGCTCTACGGACAATTCCTTTGACCTCTTGGTTTTTTTTTCTTTCTGACATGCGCTGTCAACTGTGGGACCTTATATAGACAGGTTTGTGCCTTTCCAAATCATGTCCAATCAATTGAATTTACCACAGGTAGACTGCAATCAAGTTGTAGAAACAGCTCAAGGATGATCAATGGAAACAGGATGCACCTGAGCTCAATTTCGAGTCTCATAGCAAAAGGTCTGAATACTTATGTAAATAAGGTATATCTTATTTTTAATACATTTGTAAAAAATTCTAAAAACCTGTTTTCGCTTCGTCATTATGGAGTATTGTGTGTAGATTGATGAGGGGGAAAAAATAATTGAATCCATTTTAGAATAAGGCTGTAACGTAACAAAATCTGGAAAAAGTGAAGGGGTCTGAATACTTTCTGAATGCACTGTAGAAGTAGCCCATTTCACTGTTGCGGACAATTTTTGTTTGAGGCTTTACCGAGCCAGACAAACTTCTCTCTTCGCCAAGAGCCCAAGCACTTCCCCAGTGTTTCCCAAGATCAAGTATGCAGAGATTTGCACATCTCCAGTCAGAACAGGCCTTGCACAAACTTTCCCCCCCTGGCACATTTTCCGGCTGGCGCCCACAATGCCTTCATTGTTGTTTTCCTTACAAATAATAACTTTGAACATGTGTGCGTTCCTATCAAAGTAAGTGCCTTATTTTCTGTATATCGTGTTGTCGTTTCTATTGTAGCATACCGTATGCATGTATGGAGCATTATGTATTTACTGTTATATTCACATGGTGACAAATCATGCATTTTGATTCTTGCATGGATTGTAATGGACACACATGATGCGTGTAAAATACTTTTTTGAAGGTTGTACTGAGTTTGATGAGCTAATGCTAAGCTATTTGCCAGCTATGTGTGGCGCCATGTTTGTACAATGCATTCTGGGTGTCACGTAAACGTCTCTCTGACCAAAGATGTTATAACAAAATGAGGTGAAGAGATGGTTAACTCATCTTTCGAGTAAACTTCCGGAAGTGAATGATGGGAAGTGAATGATGGTAGACAACACACCCCATTCAACTTGCATACTGCAAACAGACCAAACTCATCTTGTCTCCTCTTCTTACCTTTGTTTGATGCGGGGGGGAAAAAACATGGCAGCGCGCACAAACTACCCATCATCGGATTACTTTTCATTTTTAGAAAGTGCTTTACTCAATTGTGAGGTCACCTGTAATGTGATGAATTGTAAATAGCAATTGCTATTAGCTAACTCATATTATTGTTTCTGTCAGCCGAGAGTTAGATAAATATGACCGCTTGTGTTACGTCAATCTTTCCTCAGCGTTAAGACTAATGTAGCCTACATTTTCCGGTTTGGATGATTGTGTTATGATGTCGCTACTTCTGTGAATGTCTGAACATTGCATCCAAAAATAAACTGGTCCCATTCAGGACATAACGTTGTAAGGACTGTTTGTGCAAAATAATCAAACGCTGACTGTTGCATCAATCGTAACTGGACGTTCTAAAAAAGCGTTCTAATCACACCGGTTTGAGCGTACGCTACAGGAACCACTGTAGAATGATCGCACCAGTGTGTTGGTACGTGTCAAAGGGTTAAACAGGTTAACATTTGCAAGGCAGCGGGGCCAGACGGAATACCAGGATGCATACTCAGAGCATGCACTGAACAGCTGGCAAGTGTCTTCACTGACATTTCCAACCTATCCCTGACCCAGTCTGTAATACCAACTTGTTTCAAGCAGACCACCATAGACCCCATGCCCAAGAACGCCAAGGAAACCTGCCTAAATGACTATCACCCCGTAGCACTCACATCTTTAGCCATGAATTGCTTTGAAAGGCTGGTCATGGCTCACATCAACACAATCATCCCAGACACACTGGACTCACTCCATTTCGCATAACGCCCAACAGATCCAGAGGACGCAATCTCTATTACACTCCACACTGCCCTCACCCACCTGGACAAAAGGAATACCTATGTATGAATCATCATGGTCAAAACATATAGACTCAATGGTTATTAAAATGAGAAGAAGTCTGTCCATGATAAGGCGTTGCTCTGCTTTCTTGACATCTCAGTCAACCAGACAGGTCCCACAGACCCTAGTTTTGTCGCACCTGGACTACTGTCCAGTTGTGTGGTCAGGTGCAGCAAAGAAGGACATAGACAAATTGCAGTTGGTCCAAAACAGAGGAGCACCTATTGCACTTAGATGTACACGGAGGACGAATGTCAATGGCATGCATGTCAATCTCTCCTAGCTCAAAGTTGAGGAGAGATTGACTGCATCGGTATTAGTCCTTGTGCGAGGTGTTGAAGAGTCCAAAAACAGATAAAATAACACCTTATGGCACAACGGGGACTGTGAAGAGACACACAGAAATGTTTATGCATTTTGTATTGTATTTTGCATTGTATAATGTATGTGATAAATTGTTGGGATATGACTGTGATATGTGGTTGTCTCGCCTGGCAATCTTAAAATGAATGCACTAGCTGTAGGTTGCTCTGGATGGCAGCATCTGCTGAATGTCTAAATCGTAATGTAAATGTAGTGCTATGTATGTATATTTATGTACACTACTGTTTTTTTGTCCATTAAAATAACATCAAATTGATCAGAAATACAGTGTAGACATTGTTAATGTTGTAAATGGCTATTGTAGCTGGAAACGGCTGATTTTTAATGGAATATCTACATAGGCGTACAGAGGCCCATTATCAGCAACCATCAGTCCTGTGTTCCAATGGCATGTTGTGTTTGCTAATCCAAGTTTATCATTTTAAAAGGCTAATTGATCATTAGAAAACCCTTTTGCAATTATGTTAGCACAGCTGAAAACTGTTGTGCTGATTAAAGAAGCAATAAAACTGGCCTTCTTGAGACTAGTTGAGTATCTGGAGCATCAGCAATTGTGGGTTCGATTACAGGCTCAAAATGGCCAGAAACAAATAACTTTCTTCTGAAACTCGTCAGTCTATTCTTGTTCTGAGAAATGAAGGCTATTCCATGCGAGAAATTGCCAAGAAACTGAAGATCTCGTACAACGCTGTGTACTACTCCCTTCATAGAACAACGCAAACTGTCTCTAACCAGAATAGAAAGAGGAGTGGAAGGCCCCGGTGCACAACTGAGCAAGAGGACAAATACATTAGAGTGTCTAGTTTGAGAAACAGGCGCCTCACAGGTCCTCAACTGGCAGCTTCATTAAATAGTACCCGCAAAACACCAGTCTCAACGTCAACAGTGAAGAGGCGACTCTGGGATGCTGACCTTCTAGGCAGAGTTGCAAAGAAAAAGCCATATCTCAGACTGCCCATCTTTTTATTGGCTAGTCTGAGATATGGCTTTTTCTTTGCAACTCTGCCTAGAAGGTCAGCATCCCGGAGTCACCTCTTCACTAGACTACCATAAAGGCCTGATTGGTGGAGTGCTGCAGAGATGGTTGTCCTTCTGGAAGGTTCTCCCATCTCCACAGAGGAACTCTGGAGCTCTGTCAGAGTGACCATCGGGACTAGACTAATAGCCATTTACAACATTAACAATGTCTACACTGTATTTCTGATCAATTTGGTGTTATTTTAATGGACAAAAAAATTTGACCCTAAGTGACCCCAAACTTTTGAAATGGTTGTGTATATTATGTATTTTATTTGTTGTGTTGTTTCCTATTTGGACCCCAGGAAGAATAGCTGATGCCTCAGCAGCAGCTAATTGGGGATCCTAATACATACTAAATGTCAAGCTCAGGACCCTGGGACTGAACACCTCCCTCTGCAACTGGATCCTGGACTTCCTGATGGGCCGCCACCAGGTGGTGAGGGTAGGCAACAACACATCCACCAGTCTGATCATTAACATAGGGACCCCTCAGAGCTGTGTGCTTAGTCCCCTCCTGCATTCCCCGTTCACCCATGACTGCGTGGCCACACACGACTCCAACACCATCATCAAGTTTGCTGACGACACGACTGATCACTGACGATGATGAGGCTGCCTATATGGAAGAGGTCAGACACCTGGCAGTGTGGTGCAAGGACAACAACCTTTCACTCAACGCCAGGAAGACCAAGGAGCTGATTGTGGACTACAGGAAAAGGAGGGGCGAGCATGCCCCCATCCACATCGATGGGGCTGTAGTGGAGTTGGTCGAGAGCTCCTCGGTGTCCACATCACTAAGGAAATAACATGGTCCACACACACCCACACAGTTGTAAAGAGGGCACGACAATGCTTCTTCCCCCTCAGCAGCCTGAAAAGATTTGGCATGGGCCCTCAGATCCTCAAAAAGTTCTACAGCTGCACCACTGCTTGGTACGGCAACTGCAAGGCGCACGACCACAAAGCGCTATAGAGGGCGGTGAGTACGGCCTAGTACATCACTGGGGCCGAGCTCCCTGCCAATCAGGACCTCTATACCAGGCAGTGTCAGAGGAAGGCCCAAAAAATTGTCAAAGACTCCACCCACCCAACTCATAGACTGTTCTCTCTGCTGCCGCATGGCATGAACCAAATCTGGAACCAACAGGACCCTGAAAAGATTCTACCCCAAGCAATGTCTGCTAAACAACTGATCAAATGGCTACCCGGACTACCTGCATTTACCCTTTTTTGCACCAACTCTCTTGCACTGACAATGCCCACACACTGGACCACATACGCTGCTGCTACTGTCCATCTTGTTGCCTAGTCACTTTACCCATACTATACGTACATAGCTACCTCAATTACCTCGTACTCCAGCACAATACCCCATAAACGACAAAGTGAAAACTATTTTAGCAAATTTATAAGAAATAAAAAAACAGAAATACCTTATTTACATAAGTATTCAGACCCTTTGCAATGAGACTAGAAATTGGTGCATCCTGTTTCCATTGATCATCCTTGAGATTTTTCTACAACTGTGGTAAATTCAATTGATTGGACATGATTTGGAAAGGTACACACCTGTCTATAAAAAAGGTCCCACAGTTGACAGTGCATGTCACAGCAAAAACCAAGCAATGAGGTCGAAGGAATTGTCCGTAGAGCTCCGAGACAGGATTGTGTGAAGGCACAGATCTGGGGAAGGGTACCAAAACATTTCTGCAGCATTGAAGGTCCCCAAGAACACAGTGGCCTCCATCATTCTTAAATGGAAAAAGTTTGGAACCACCAAGACTCTTCATAGAGCTGGCTGCCCTGCCAAACTGAGCAATCGGGGGAGAAGGGCCTTGGTAAGGGAGGTGACCAAGAACCTGATGGTCACTCTGACAGAGCTCCAGAGTTCCTCTGAGGAGATGGGAGAAACTTCCAGAAGGACAACCATCTCTGCAGCACTCCACCAATCAGACCTTTATGGTAGAGTGGCCAGACGGAAACCACTCCTCAGTGAAAGGCACATGACAGCCCGCTTGGAGTTTGCCAAAAGCCTCTTAAAGGACTCTCAGACCATGAGAAACAAGATTCTCTGGTCTGATGAAACCAAGATTGAACTCTTTGGCCTGAATGCCAAGCGTCACGTCTGGAGGAAACCTGGCACAATCCCTATGGTGAAGCATGGTGGTGGCAGCATCAAGCTGTGGGGATGATTTTCAGCGGTAGAGACTGGGAGACTAGTCAGGATCAAGGGAAAGATGAACGGAGCAAAGTACAGAGATCCTTGATGAAAACCTGCTCCAGAGCGCTCAGGACCTCAGACTGGGGGCGAAGGTTCACCTTCCAACAGGACAACGACCCTAAGCACCCAGCCAAGACAATGCAGGAGTGGCTTCAGGACAAGTCTTTGAATGTCCTTGAGTGGCCCAGCCAGAGTCCGGACTTGAACCCGATCGAACATCTCTGGAGAGACCTGAAAATAGCTGTGCAGCGATGCTCCCCATCCAACCTGACAGAGCTTGAGAGGATCTGCAGAGAAGCATGGGAGAAACTCCCCAAATACAGGTGTTGATTTGTAGTAGCTTGTAGCGTCATACCCAAGAAGAGTCGAGGCTGTAATCGCTGCCAAAGGTGCTTCAACAAAGTACTGAGTAAAGGGTCTGAATACTTATGTAAATGTGAATACTTTTTTTTATTCATTTGCAAAAATTTCAAAAAGCCTGTTTTTGCTTTGTCATTATGGGTTATTGTGTGTAGATTGATGAGGGGGGGAAACAATTTAATCCATTTTAGAATAAGGCTGTAACGTAACAAAATGTGGAAAAAGTAAAGGGGTCTGAATACTTTCCGAATGCACTGTTTAGCCATGTTATTTTTAATTGTTAGTCACTGTGTATATATATATATATATATATATTTTTTAAATCTTTAACTCTGCATTGTTGGAAAAGTAAGCGTTTCACTGTTAGTCTACACCTGTTGTTTACGAAGCATGTGACAAATAACATTTGATTCTATTTTTTTATAAATACAATCTGGATTTAATAATACAGCCATCTATCATTTGCTGTTATAGTTAGTAAATTGAATTATGAAGATTGGTCGAGTCCTGGCCCAAGTCTGAGTCACCACTGGTCGAGTCCGAGTCGAGTCATGAAAATCGTGACTTGAGTCCGAGTGAAGTCCGAGTCCTGGACTCGAGTATTACAACACTGGCCAGGGGTTTGTGGGTTGTGGTGGAGCTCTTACTTGGAAATGACGGGGTCGTAGAGCAGTGCGTACCAGCGCTCCTGGATCTCCCGCAGGGTGAAACGACAGCTGAACTTCACCCCCAGATGAACAGAGGTCAGATCTGTCGTCTAACAGCACCCACACACAGATACAACACACACACACACGCAGTCAGTTGCAGCCACTTACGGTTTCAGTGCATTACCATAGTCAATGAGCTGTATGATATACATCCATAGAAAAATAATCTGGATACATCAAACACATTGAGACTTCACAGGTCAAAGTTACACAGTACACTAACTGCCAAATTCCAATGATGTATAGCCCTGATGCATCAGTTATATACTGAACAAAAATGTAAAACGCAACATGCAACAATTTTTAAGTTTTTACTGAGCTACAGTTCATAAGGAAATAAGGCAATTGAAATAAATTCATTAGGCCTTAATCTATAGAGTTCACCCGACTGGGCAGGGTTGCAGCCATGGGTGGGCCTTGGAGGGCATAGGCCCACCCACTTGTCAGCCAGGCCCACCCAATCAGAATGATTTTTCCCCCACAAAAGGGCTTTATTACAGACAGAAATACTCCTCAGCACCCCCCTCCCCCCTCAGATGGCGTGGTTAAACTTGGTCTGCGGTTGTGAGGCCAGTTGGACGTACTGCCAAATTCTCTAAAATGACGTTGGAGGCAGTTTATGGTAGGTAAATTAACATTACATTCTCAGGCAACATCTCTGGTGGACATTCCTTCAGTCAACTTGAGACATCTGTGGCATTGTGTTGTGTGACAAAACTGTGAATTTTAAAGTGGCCTTTGATTGTCCCCAGCACAAGGTGCACCTGTGTAATGATCATGCTGTTTAGTCAGCTTCTTGATATGCCACACCTGTCAGGTGGATGGATTATCTTGGCAAAGGAGAAATGCTCACTAACAGGGATATAAACAAATGTGTGCACAAAATTAGAGAAATACACTTTTTGTGCGTATGGAAAATGTCTGGGATTTTTTATTTCAGCTCATGAAACATGAGACCAACACTTTACATGTTGCGTTTATATTTTTGTTCAGTGTATATCAATAGTGTATCTCAATTCTCTTTAGGTCTGTTACCTGTAGCACAGCATTGATGAGCAGAAGGTCGTCGGTGGGTTTCCAGCGTCCCAGGTCTTTAGTGATCTGGAGGGGCTGCTTACTCTTCTTCACCCGCTTGGCAATGGGTGGGGGGGTGATCACCATGGTGAGGGGTGGCGTGAGGGCCGTGCTGGACTTGGACACCTAACATAGGGGGGCATGGAGGAGGGGAACCAATGAGGCATCTCCTTTGCCTCATTCAGCATTTACTCTAGTAGGCATTTTGTCATCTGCCAGACACCTTTATTAGGTATCACCCTTACATGCCATTTAATAGGGTGATGATCAAGAGTCTGGAGACAAAGAAAAACCTGACCATATAAACAGCATAATAAACTAGCCATGTAATCAAGAGCAAATTGAACAACAACTACAGGTTTCTCCCTCTATGTTTCTCTTATGAGCTACCCACAATAACACCACCCTCTCTTTGGATTCAACTCCTCCCCTCTACCTTCTTCTTCTCATTGGATGAGGGTTCGCTCCCAGAGCAGCGGATTGGCTCGATGACAGGTGGACCCTTGACCCTGCTAGATGACTTGGCCAGGCTGCTCTCCACCAGCTCATCATCAAACTTCTTCCTCTTAATTGACCTGGAAGTAGGAGAGGAACAGGTTAGATATCATATAGCCACCAGAGCGGACACAGACAGCACCCCTGAGCTATCTTTTCGCCAGGCCTACTTCAAATTCAGTAGGTAGGTGATGCAGAACGAATGCTGTCCAATGGTCAGACGTGTAGGCAGTTCATTTGAATCAGTGAACTGTACAAGGTGTTGCATGTTCATCTTTCAGTTTAACACTGGTGGAAAGATTGAAGCGGGAAAAAGTGCTTGCAGAGTAAGCTATAACATTAAGCTGGACACAAGTGAGTGGCAGTCCAACCTTGAAGAGCTCCTGCGTTTGGGCACAACACCACCACCCCCAACGAAAGCCTGTGTTGCTGTCCTTTTGATGTCTTTCATCCCAGTCGACTCCTCCTCCTCTGACCCAGCTGCTCCAATCGGTGCCCCAACCACAGATGCAATTGCAACACCTGCCTGTATATCTGTCCCCAGACGGAGATAGACTTCGATGTTAGACACTAGAGTCTTTGGATTATGATGACAACAACTTACAACAAGAGGCAGACAGACAACCAAGAGATGTGTATAACGTTACCTTGGTCCATGATCTTGGTCACAGTCCAGAACTTTCGAATAGTAACGTTGCTACATTCGGCAGGTGTCACTCAGACAACGTATATCAGGTGGTAATCTGAGACGAGAGAGAGGAAGGTATCAGTCAGTGATGGGCAGTAAATGGGAGGCATGTGCGGATTGCTAGCAAGCTCAATGTGATAAATATAAGCTGTGCTATGCAGCTATTAACTAGCTAGCTAGCTTGATGTGAACAATATTGATAGATGTTTCGAAAGCCAGCTATCTAACCTTAGATGGATGTAGCTAGGAACGTTTCACATCATTCGCGAGCTAACGTTGGTTATAACAGTAACGAAACAGCCTCTTCGCTCATTCTCTACTTACCTCGTTTATCAGCAAACTAGAATCTAGCCAGGCATATTGACACTTCGATTAACACAATTGCTATACGAATATGTTAACTTATATTCAACATTAGCTAGCTAACAATAACAGAACGAAACACATTTCCGATATGCACAGGAAATGTCGTTTGCAGTCTTCTTCACAACATTCTCATAACGTACATTACTGCTGCCACCAACAGGGCTGGAGTATGGAATGCTCGTTGACATGTAGCGAGGTGGTTGACCCCAAAATGCTTGCGCTTTATTTCAACACGATTCTCTATGTGTGATACAAATAAATGCTATGTAGTTCCAGCATGTGAACTCTTAGGAAATGTGCAATTAATGATGACCTGGTTTAGTCAAATGTTTTACCAACAGATGGTGCTGCAAGACACTTTTCTTTTTAGGGTCATTGCACAATACAACGTTTTGTTTGAATCATAGAGATGTATAGAGATCACAACGTTTTGTTTGAATCATAGAGATGTATAGAGATCACAACGTTTTGTTTGAATCATAGAGATGTATAGAGATCACAACGTTGTATCTGTCCCATTATGGCATTTGTGAGAGGGCAGAGTCCTCTCCATTTTAAAGTAGTCAATGTCATTCTTCTACTAGCTACTTCTATGACTTGGTAAACAAACTGAAAGGGTGCAAACTGCCACTGTGTGTTGTTTGAACAGGTAAAGCCAAGGTTTGTGATTTACTGCCACTTGCAGTTATGGAATGTTTGCTCACAAGTATAATTCATTGGTTGATCCCTCCTGATGACCTGGATGGAATTATGTGATCCTTCCTTAACCCATAGGAAGTCCCACCCAGTTGACTATTTCAAAATGGTGAAAGTCCTCAATGCCGGTGCCTATGCTAAAACAGGATTTTGGGTGCTAGTCCTCTATACATATCTATGGTTTGAATTCACACGACTAAAATAAACTACATTATTTTCGAAATTAGGAAGGACAATCACACTAATGGATTGAGCAATTCTGAAAAAACAAATCAATCATTAAAATATATAATTTGTGCTATCTATTTCAAATTTCGCCATTAACTTTTCACCTATACAATCACATAACATCCCCTTCAACACATCATGTTACATGTTGTCTGTTTACCAGACAACATAAATTAGGCAGACTAGACCTCTGAGTCAGTATAGGCACTGAAAGGCACAGACCCACTGCTTACAGTCACCTGCTAAAGTCCAGCATTGACCTGGTCTGGTCTCAGGCCACCTAAGGCCCCTACCTCTGTTGCTGCCTCTGCCAGGCAGAGGGGGAAATAAGAGAAAAGGAGTCTATGAATTATTAACCTTTTTGGAAAATTTCAGCTCTGACTGGCTATGGATGTCCTTCCTCCAGTATTTCAGTCCACCACAACCACCACTTAGGCGGTCTTCATTTATTGTAGGCCTATGCATATATAATACTATAAAATGCAACGTATGTTTACAGCTGTGTTGGTAATGCATTGTTCTGTTCATGACCAGAACATTTTGGAGAGTGAATCATGATTACTTGAAGGAAGTGTGGTTGGTATTTTACTCAGAAAGAGAGGCATACCCATCACAAGAACATCCTACTAATGAGTAGGCCGACCACTACAGTGTACTATTTTACATAATTTATAATCTAGAGGGTTGCATCCTGTCTGTCTCAACCTTTGTTCCAGTGTGATTTGGGCGTTTTGGACAGTCAGGGTTATGTACAAAAACCTCACTCTCTCATCCAGAATGTAATTGGGGGTGGAGCGGAATGTGAAGCAAACTGTTGACCTGCAAACTTAGCACCAATGTACGGTAGCACAATGTCCCCACAGACACGTCCCACAGGAACAGCGATACCCAGCAGCGGCTTTCTCAGAACCACCTGCCTTCATGTCTAAATATTAGTCCATCGGTTTGAACCACAGACAAGTTAGAACCAGAAACTAGGTTACAATGTCTTATACGGCTGGGAATTGCCAGGGACCTCACAATGCAATATTCTCACGATACTTAGGTGCCGATACGATATGTATTGCGATACAATACTGCGATTTTATTGCGATTTGATGTTCCAAACATATTGCTCACTATATGTCTTCTGCAGAGAGTCGAGAGCATGAGAAAATTAGTTTTGATCAGTCTGGGAAATAAAAGTGCTGAAAACACGTAGGCTCACTATTTAAAAAGAAGATGGAGAACAAGCTATAGGTTGAAAAATTGCGGAATGTTAACGCAGGTACAGCCGACTAGCGCTAGCTAACGCTACCAACAGTAGCAAAAAATGATATACACACTGAACAAAAATATAAATGCAACATGCAACAGTTTCCAAGATTTTACTGAGTTACTGTTCGTATAAGGACATTTGTCAATTGAAATAAATTCATTAGGCCCTAATCTATGGATTTCACATGACTGGGAATACAGAGAGGCATCTGTTGGTCACAGATACCTTTAAAAAAAAGGTAGGGGCATGGATCAGAAAACCAGTCAGTATCTGGTGTGACCACCATTTGCCTCATGCAGCACGACACATCTCCTTCGCATAGAGTTGATCAGGCTGCTGGTTGTGGCCTGTAAAATGTTGTCCCACTCCTCTTCAATGGCTGTGCGAAGTTGCTGGATATTGGCGGGAACTGGAACACGCTGCCGTACACGTCGATCCAGAGCATCCCAAAAATGCTCGATAGGTGATATGTCTGGTGAGTATGCAGGCCATGAAAGAACTGGGACATTTTCAGCTTCCAGGAATTGTGTACAGGCCCTTCAAATCAAATCAAATCAAATTGTATTTGTCACATGCGCCGAATACAACAGGTGTAGTAGACCTTGCTGTGAAATGCTTACTTACAAGCCCTTAACCAACAATGCAGTTCAAGAAATAGAGTTAAGAAAATATTTACTAAATAAACTAAAGTAAAAAATAAAACTAATAAAAAGTAACACAATAAAATAACAATAACGAGGCTATATACAGCGGGTACCGGGACCGAGTCAATGTGCGGGGGTACAGGTTAGTTGAGGTAATTGAGGTAATATGTACATGTAGGTAGAGGTAAAGTGACTAAGCATAAATAATTAACAGAGTAGCAGCAGTGTAAAAACAAAGGGGGGGGTCAATGTAAATAGTCCGGGTGGCCATTTGATTAATTGTTCAGCAGTCTTATGGCTTGGGGGTAGAAGCTGTTAAGGAGCTTTTGGACCTAGACTTGGCGCTCCGGTACCGTTTGCCGTGCGGTAGCAGAGAGAACAGTCTATGACTTGGGTGACTGGAGGCTTTCACAATTTTTTTGGGCCTTCCTCTGACACCGTCTAGTATATAGGTCCTTGATGGCAGGAAGCTTTGCCCCAGTGAGGTACTGGGCCGTACGCAGTACCCTCTGTAGCGCCTTACGGTCGGATGCCAAGCAGTTGCCATACCAGGCGGTGATGCAACTGGTCAGGATGCTCTTGATGGTGCAGCTGTAGAACTTTTTGAGGATCTGGGGACCCATGCCAAATCTTTTCAGTCTTCTGGGGGGAAAAGGTGTTGTCGTGGCCTCTTCACGACTGTCTTGGTGTGTTTGGACCATGATAGTTTGTTGGTGATGTGGACACCAAGGAACTTGAAACTCTCAACCCGCTCCACTACAGCCCCGTCGATGTTAATGGGGGCCTGTTCGGCCCTCCTTTTCCTGTAGTCCACGATCAGCACCTTTGTCTTGCTCACATTGAGGGAGAGGTTATTGTCCTGGCACCACACTGCCAGGTTTCTGACCTCCCTATAGGCTTTCTCATCGTTGTCGGTGATCAGGCCTACAACTGTTGTGTCGTCAGCAAACTTAATGATGGTGTTGGAGTCGTGCTTGGCCACGCAGTCATGGGTGAACATGGAGCACAAGAGGGGACTAAGCATGCACCCCTGAGGGGCCCCCGTGTTGAGGATCAGCGTGGCAGGCGGGGGCGGCCCGTCAGGAAGTCCAGGATCCAGTTGCAGAGGGAGGTGTTTAGTCCCAGGGTCCTTAGCTTAGTGATGAGCTTTGTGGGCACTATGTTGTTGAACGCTGAGCTGTAGTCATTGAACAGCATTCTCACATAGGTGTTATTTTTGTCCAGGTGGGAAAGGGCAGTGTGGAGTGCGATTGAGATTGCGTCATCTGTGGATCTGTTGGGGCGGTATGCGAATTGGAGTGGATCTAGGGTTTCCGTGATGATGGTGTTGATGTGAGTCATGACCAGCCTTTCAAAGCACTTGATGGCTACCGACATGAGTGCTACGGGGTGGTAGTCATTGAGGCATGTTACCTTCACTTTCTTGGGCACAGGGACTATGGTGGTCTGCTTGAAACATGTAGGTATTACAGACTCGGTCAGGGAGAGGTTGAAAATGTCAGTGAAGACACGTGCCAGTTTGTCTGCGGATGCTCTGAGTACACATCCTGGTATTCCGTCTGGCCCCGAGGCCTTGTGAATGTTGACCTGTTTAACCCTCCCGTTGTCCTAGGGTCAAAATGACCCGCCACTGTGTTGAACCAACTTTATTTAATTTTTATATTTTTTGGATCATTTGTGAGAAGGAGGCAGTGATACTTTCTTTAAAGTCTCACTGCCTCCTTCTCACAAATGATCCCAAAAATATAAAAATTAAATAAAGTTGGTTCAACACAGTGGCGGGTCATTTTGACCCTAGGACAACGGGAGGGTTAAAGGTCTTGCTCACATCGGTTACGTAGAGCGGGATCATACAGTCGTCCGGAACAGCTGGTGCTCTCATGCATGCTTCAGGGTTGCTTGCCTCGAAGCGAGCATAAAATACATTTCGCTCGTCTGGTAGGCTCGCATCAATGGGCAGATCGCGGCTGGGTTCCCCTTTGTAGTCCCTAATAGTTTCCAAGCCCTGCCACATCCGACGAGCGTCAGAGCCGGTGTAGTAGGATTCAATCTTAGTCCTGAATTGACGCTTTGCCTGTTTGATGGTTTGTCATGCGACATGGGGCCGTGCATTATCATGCTGAATCATGAGTTGATGGTGGTGGATGAATGGCACGACAATGGGCCTCAGGATCTCGTCATGGTATCTCTGTGCATTCAAATAGCCATAGATAAAATGCAATTGTGTTCGCCCATACCATAACCCCACCGCCACAATGGGGCACTCTGTTCACAACGTTGACATCAGCAAACCGCTTGCCCCACACGTCTGCCTTGTACAGTTGACAAAGAGATTCAGCCGTGAAGAGCACACTTCTCCAGCGAAGGTGAGCATTTGCCCACTGAAGTCTGTTACGACGCCAAACTGCAGTCAGGTCAAGACCCTGGTGAGGATGACGAGCACGCAGATGAGCTTCCCTGAAATGATTACTGACAGTTTGTGCAGAAATTCTTCGGTTGTGCAAACCCACAGTTTCATAAGCTGTCCGGGTGGCTGGTCTCAGACGATCCCACAGGTGAAGAAGCAGGATGTGGAGGTCCTGGGCTGGCGTAGTTACACGTGGTCTGCGGTTGTGAGCCTGGTTGGAAATACTGCCAAATTCTCTAAAACAACTTCGGAGGCGGCTTATGGTAGAGATATTAACATTCAATTCTCTGGCAACAGCTCTGGTGGACATTCCTGCAGTGGCAGCATGCCAATTGTCACCAGCACAAGATGCACCTGTGTAATGGTCATGCTGTTTAATCAGATTATTGATATGCCACACCGGTCAGGTGGATGGATCATCTTGGCCAAGGAGAAATGCTCACTAACAGGGATGTAAACAAATTTGTACACCACATTTGTGAGATAAGCTTTTTGTGCGTATGGAACATTTCTGGGATCTTTTATTTCAGCACATGAGACATGGGACCAACACTTTACATGTTGCGTTTATATTTTTGTTCAGTGTATATATACTGTACCTGTCAAAAGTTTGGACACACCTACTCATTCAACGGTTTATCTTTATTTTTACTATTTTCTACATAATAATAGTGAAGACATCAAAACTATGAAATAACACCTATGGAATCATGTAGTAACCAAAAAGTATTAAACAAATATATTTTATATTTGAGATTCTTCATATAGCCCCCCTTTGCATTGATGACAGCTTTACACACTCTTGCCATTCTCTCAACCAGCTTCATGAGGTAGTCACCTGGAATGCATTTCAATTAACAGGTGTGCCTTCTTAAAACTTAATTTGTGGAATTTCTTTCCTTCTTAATGCATTTGAGCCAATCAGTTGTGTTGTGACAAGATAGGGGTGGTATACAGAAGATAGCCCTATTTGGTAAAAGACCAAGTCCAGATTATGGCAAGAACAGCTCAAATAAGCAAAGAGAAACGACAGTCCATCATTACTTTAAGACATGAAGGTCAGTCAATATGGAACATTTCAAGAACTTTGAATGTTTCTTCAAGAACAGTCGCAAAAACCATCAAGCACTATGATGAAACTGGCTCTCATGAGGACCACCACAGGAATGGAAGACCCAGAGTTACCTCTGCGGCAGAGGATAAGTTCATTAGTTACCAGCCTCAGAAATTGCAACCCAAATAAAGAGTTCAAGCCACAGACACATCTCAACATCAACTGTTCAGAGTGGACTGTGTGAATCAGGCCTTCATGGTCAAATTGCTGCAGAGAAACCACTACTAAAGGACACCAACAAGAAGAGACCTGCTTGGGCCAAGAAACACGAGCAATGGACATTAGACCGGTGGAAATGTGTCCTTTGGTCTGGAGTCCAAATTTGAGATTTTTGGTTCCAACCACTGTGTCTTTGTGAGGTGTTATGGTGCTTTGCTGGTGACACTGTCTGTGATTTATTTAGATTTCAAGGCACACTTAACCAGCATGGCTACCACAGCATTCTGCAGCGATACGCCATCCCATCTGGTTTGGGCTTAGTGGGACTATAATTTGTTTTTCAACAGGACAATGACCCAACACACCTCCAGGCTGTGTAAGGGCTATTTGACCAAGAAGGAGAGTGATGGAGTGCTGCATCAGATGACCTGGCCTCCACAATCCCCCGACCACAACCCAATTGAGATGGTTTGGGAGGAGTTGGACCGCAGAGTGAAGGAAATGCAGCCAATAAGGGCTAAGAATATGTGGGAACTCCTTCAAGACTGTTGGAAAAGCATTCCAGGTGAAGCAGGCTGAGAGAATGCCAAGAGTGTGCAAAGCTGTCAAGGCAAAGGGTGGCTATTTGAATAATCTCAAATCTCAAATATATTTTGATTTGTTTAACACTTTTTTGGTTACTACATGATTCCATGTGTTATTTCATAGTTTTGATGTCTTCACTATTATTCTACAATGTAGAACATAGTAAAAATAAAGAAAAACCCTTGAATGAGTAGGTGTGTCCAAACTTTTGACTGGTACTGTTTACATTCTTATTTGTTATACAAATCGATTTATCAATATAATACCGTCCAAAAATAATAGTGCAATATGTAACTATTGATTTTTTCCCCCCATCACTAATGCCTTACAGGAAAAAAAATGATGCCGCAAGGTAGCATAATTTTCACATTTCTAGAACAGAAAAAGAAGACCATGCATACATGTATGAAATGTTTTTATTAGAGAACAAATACAAAAGTAAAATAGTTCCATATTGCTATAACAATTTTCTACAATGTGTTATCCCAACAGAGAAAGAAGCTTTTGAAGCACCACATCATACAAGCCACATAAGGTTCTAGATGTAGAAAAACGGGTAACACATAAATAATTTTTTAGATGTAAAAGGTACAGACAACTCACATTAGATAAATAGTTTGGTACAACTGAGTAGGACTTCATAAAAGTTCAAAATACTTTAAAAAAAATACATAAAAAGTGTATTTAAAAAGAGTAACCCAGGTGGGAGGATATGGAGCACCATGTTAGTCCCACCAGCTGCCATTTTTCACTTAGATTTTAACGAGCACCATATAAGCGCCATATAAGCACCAAATGAGCACCATCCTGATATGAGCATCATAGTTTTGTCCAAAATAATTATTATTAAATAACACTCTTCTAAAGGTAGTACATGACACATTTCTAACCATTTTATAGAACCTTCATCAGCAATGCGTAAACATTATTAAATGCAACTGAGGCTCTGTTTGGCATCTGCCAATCTATGATTTAAATTAGAGAAGGATAAATTGCTTTCATTTTACATTTTCATTTTAGTCATTTAGCAGACGCTCTTATCCAGAGCGCCTTACAGGAACAATTAGGGTTAAGTGCCTTGCTCAAGGGCACATCGGCAGATTTGTTTCACAGAGTCTGCTCGGGATTCGAACCAGCAACCTTTTGGTTACTGGCCCAACGCTCTTAACTGCTAGGCTACCTGCCGCCCTACTTTCTGTTTGTCTTCGCTAAGGAATGAGTTACAACTTCTCAGTCCATATTTGTTTTGCATTACATGCCATGGTCAGGATGCTTACAGTCAAATAGCAATTGATGTCTGGTTAGGTGAGAGGAACATATGTAGATATCAGATTCCTTTGGTAATACCATTGGCAACTGGCAATACCATTGGCTACAATCTAAACCACTAAAAGTATGTTTAAGTGATTGTATTCACAAGCATTATTGAATAAAGCAGAAGGTTTAAAGAGATTGAACGGGATCTTAAGAACTTACAAATTCGTAACATATTGTACAAATTGGAATTTGTAACATATCATAGGAATTGCAGATTTGTAAAAAAAAATATTGCAGGACGTAACATATCATACAAAATGGATGACGTTGTACACCATTTTCAGGGGCCCGTTTTGATTCATGAGCTCTACTTTCAAAACTACTGGCTGAAATTATACAAAACCTTTATAACGCATCTTTAAGTGGTGTAAAGAGGGATCAACCTGATATTGAGAAGGAAAATCACTTGTCATTAAAGGGGAAATCAGCAGTTGCTACATCCAATTTTTTACTTATCAATTAATGATATGTACCCATTGATTCTTGAATAATATAACTTATAAATGCCTCATGATCTTAGTTCAACTGTCGTACCCCATCAGAACCCATAATATAAGCTTGTTTTACTCCAATGTTTGTAAACAAAGTAAACAAACACTATATAGCCTCAAAACATGGTTAAAACTATAATTTTGATTTCATGGATGATCAGTCCTATCATCCATAGCTTTGTCTATGAATTTGTAAGTGGTTACATTTCTTCAGCCCCATCCCTCAGGTTTTTACCAAAACAGGGGCGGGGCCGCTTTGTTATCGTTTCTACTGCTGATTGCAGCTTTATAGTACTATGTCACATAATTAGTCCTGATGCACTTTTCAAGTTTCAGTCAAAGGTTTCAAGTTTTATGCATTTCACTCTGCATGGGGAGAAGTTTCAAGATAGGCTCTAAGACACTTTAAATATTGCCTTACCCACCCTTCACCCTCTCCTAGCCTCCTTGTGCAAAAAATGTGTGGGAAGTGAGTTTCAGTACACTGGAAATGCAACTACTACTGTTCATATACAGAGAGGAATGTTTTCAATTAACAATGACATTAATCTGAGACCTCTATCAGCCCATCATTCAGCTGCTGTATCAACTCAGACCCAGGCCAGCCCAAACCATCTGGGCTTGAGATCTGAGGGGCTGAGGGCCTGGTCTATGTGTTTAGGCCTACAGGGCTGCAAATTCAGTCGGGCCCTCTTTATCAGTGCTTTTCCCAGTGCTGCCAACTGTCTCACTCTGAGAGACTTGGATTGTCAGTCACTGTCAAATACACATAGCTAGTGTTCAGCAGGTCATCGACTCATCTTTCAATAAACTGCAGGTTGATCTCACTCTCTGGCACCAGCAGTGTCCGGGTCATGGGTTTGACTGCTGCACCACTGCCATCTGGATCGGGCTTCACATCAAACTGCATCAGAATCTGAGGCGACCAGGAGAGGGGTTGAGAAAATTAGAGGGCACCCCTCACATGAAACAGTACTTAGAAGAATGGAAGTCCACTACGAGGCTAAAAACACAGTATACAGTCACGACCGAAATGATTGGCACCCTCGATAATGATTAGCAAAAAATACTGTATAAAATAAAGAATCAAAATACTGAGCTATATTGTATCCCCCCCAAAAAATAATTGGGAAATATATTGCTAATACAATTGCTCAGAGATCTTTTTTTTTTTCAATACTCTGGCACCCTCCCCTTGCGAAGATAACGGCACTGAGCCTTTTTCTAAAATGTTATATGAGATTGGAGAACACATTGGGAGGGATCTTAGACCAGAGAGGAAAATGTATTACTTGTTAAACAAAATCTCATAAAATAATACCATTTTCCCAAAAGATGTAGCATAAAATATAGCTCAATATTTGTATTATTTATTTTATACAGTCTTTTTTGCTCATCTTTATCAAGGGTGCCAATAATTTCGGTCATGACTGTATGTACTGGGACTCAAAATGCTATGAAAATGAATGTCATTTTCGGAGACACTTTCTGCCAAAGCCTAGCTGTAAAAGTGACCAAAAATCTACTCACTCGTGCAAGTGCCAGGTAGACCTCCAGCTCTGCGATGCGCCGGCCGATGCAGCTGCGTTTGCCCACACCAAAGGGCACTGAGGCGTAGGGGTGGTGGCCTTCTTCCCGGTTCAGCCAGCGATGGGGCTGGAAGGCATTCGGGTTCGGGAAAAATGCTGCATTCCGGGATGTGGCGAAGTGGCAGAGGGTGATCAGAGTCTGGATAGGATAGAATCGTGAGATACTGCTGTTAGGAATCAGTTTAAAAAACTTTCTATTACACACATTTGCCTTTACACATGAATATTACACCATATTACACCAGATTGCTTTAAAAGTTCTGAGAAAGAAGCACTCAACATTAAGTCAACACCTACGTTTTTGGGGAGGAGGTAGCCGCCGACCTGGATGTCTTTGTCTGCGATGACCCTGGCATTGGCCGGAATAACAGGATAAAGTCTGGAGAAGCCAAAACATAACGATGTCAGTGTGACTGATCAGTCTAATGATTTACGATTGGTTGTAGTAGTTGATTGAATCAAGGGTACATAGTTCACCCCAATTGGTAGTGGATGAAATGAACTTCCCTATGTGCGGTGCCCCCGCACATTGACTCTGTACCGGTACCCCTTGTATATAGCCACCCTACTGTTATTTTATTTTACTGCTGCACTTTAATTAGTTGCTATTTTTTACTTATCTCTTTTCTACTTAACACATTTTTTTATTTTCTTAAAAACTACATTGTTGGTTAAGGGCTTGTAAGTAAGCATTTCACTGTAATGTCTATTCGGCGCATGTGGCAAATAAAATGTGATTTGATTTATATAATGAGGAGCTATGAGCACTTGGAATAGCGCTATATTAATCCAAACCTATATCATTATTATTACTATTATCATTATCATCATCCAACATTTCTACCTGAGCACTTCCTTGACCACAGCCTTCATGAGGGGCATGCGAGCCACGTCTGCAGCCCCAGGCACCCTCCGACCCCCCATCACGGCCAGTACCTCCTCCCGAAGCGAGGCCTGCACCTCGGGGTGCCGAGACAGCTCGTAAAGGGACCAGGACATGGTGCTGGAGATCTGAACACACAGGACACAGCAGGTCAGTACGACTGAAAGATCATTCACCATAAGGTCACTGTAGCAGTGGATGGAGAGGGTAGTGAGCTCCCTACAGCTAAGCCTAACTGTATGGGATCAGACTTAACACACAGAGAGGGAGATTAAGAAGAGGAAGTATGCTGTAACTAGGACTGAGAGGAAATGGAGATGTTTGGCTATTGGATATGTTAAAAACTAATATTAAAGTACTAGGTCAAAGATGGAGACAGAGAAGACAGAGGTGAGAGAGATGCGAGAGGAAGGAGAGATGAGAAATGTTCCTCACCGTGTCCACCCCAGCCAGGAGCAGCTCGGTGACGTTGCTGTACACTGTCTTCATGGGCAGCCCCGTGCGGGTCAGGAAGTAAGTCAGATATCGCCCCTCCACCTCCTCTCCCCGTGCCACCTTCTCTGCTTCCTCCATCAGACGCTGGTCAATGTGACCTTTAGCTGCAAGGAGAGAGATCAGGGGTCAAGATCAGAATGAAGGAGCTCAGTCAGACCTAGGTTCAAATATTAGTCCGATCTAGGTTCAAATACTATTTGAAATCTTTCAAATACTTTCAGCGTTTGCTTTTAGTCTGACTTGAGTGCCAGATGGGCTAGGTTTGCAGTATTGCGACAATTCTACTGGTTCCATAGCACCAGGCAAGCTCAATCAATTCCAGCTAGTATTTGAAATTATTTCAAATAGTATTTGAACCCAGGTCTGAAGGAGCTCTAGTCAGACTAAAGGGATCCGTACAGCTTAAAGAGGAAAAAATAGACCTCTGGGAAAGCTTACTACAGGGATTACAGGTAATGAATGGAAGGAGACCACACACTATGGGTCCTGTTCAATGGGAACTATTTATAGTTACTATAAGTTACTAGAAATCTATCAGTAGAGAGTAACTAACACTGGGGGCAACTAATAATAATCAGTAGGTCAGTCGAATAGCATGGATTAAAGAAGTCCACGGAATTAAACCAAGGTGGAGCAAGTATGAGGCTATCCAAGATGGCAGCTCACCGAATTGGAACATGTAGTCCCAGCACTGGCAGAAAGTGTCCCAGGGCTTGGGGAACAACTGGTGTAACCAGGCGGGCATAGCCATGGTGAGGAGCGTCATGACAAACATGGTGTTAATGGACTGAATGAAACGTTCTGTCTCCGTGGGAACCACAGGGTCTAGGCAACCAATCCTGGACTCAAACAAGATTGAGGAGATCCCTACAGAGAGGAAGACAGGCAGAGGGTAAGGGGAGATGGTGTGAAGGGTTTGAAGGGCTTTCCAGAAGGGCTTTGTTTGTTTGCCCTCTGTAATACAGATCCAATCAAGCCTATTATAGACTTGTCAGAGTAACATACTCGTACCATACACAAGTAAGTTATGGTAATAGACTAAACTAGTAGCCTACAATGCTAATTGACATTGATACAATAGAATGATAATGATAAAGCTGCTTCCTTGTTGTTGTCTCTTATTACGGGCACCTGACCTCAGATAACCTCACACCTGACCTCAGATGCTGACCTCATATGCCACCGTTTAAAAATACCAACAAAGAAACAGAGTTGAGTAAAAGCAGGCCTCAGGAGCGCACCACAGTGAATGTAAATAGGCCTTACCTTCGAGGCCGAAGCGGTAGAACTCGCTGGCGATGTCCGGGACGAGGCCGCGGGGGTCCTGGCGCCTGCGGAGGCGGAGCTTAGTGATGAGGTCATCTACCACGCCGTTTAGAGTAGCGTCGTAGGCCTCCACCGCCTTTGGACGTAGCATGTGCTTCCCCAGGAGACTCCGCACCGCCTGCCACTCCTCCCCCTCACTGAAGATTAAGGTAAACAGAAAATAATGCCATCAAATGAGTTTGCACACCAACAAACATCAATAATGTACATGTTTTATACAGGCTGGGCCAACTGTACTGTAGGCTACTTGATTGAATTGTAATTGTTCAGTTTGTGTCATTCTTTTGTTTTTTATCTTATGTTTGTTGTGTAGTAAATATTTCAGCTTTTATTTTCATTGTTTTTTCCTTTAAAGCACATTGCATTGCATTCCATGACTGAAATGTGCTGTATAAATAAAGCCTGATTTAATTTGATTTGAGATAGTATTTTCATATTCCTGGTGATTAGGTAATAACCCATAGGTAATAATAACCCATCATAGATCATAGATGGAGGGCTGACTCACTGTCTGGCTGCTAGGCCAATTAGTCCTTTGTCTAAAGTCTTTGCTTCGTCTCTGTTAGTCTTTCCTGTTTCCTGTCAACAGCACGTCACCCTGACATCAGAACAGTTTAAATCAGGATGACAACTCATTGAGTAAGATCACACAGTCATACACTGTCATAAAGATAATTAGGCTGCTATAGTGATATTATTAAATATGGGACACACAGATGCTATGTGTCAAGTTGAACAGTGTCCAATGATGATGACTGTGGCTGTCTGAGGGTGTGGTAAAGACAGAGAGAAGAGGAGAGGGGAGGGGGGAAGAGGAGAGGTGTGGTGATGAGAGACAAAGGAATATGGAGATAGGGGAGGGAAAGGGATAAGATAGGGGAGGCAAGGGCAACGGAGTAGAGGGGAGGGGGACAGCATGGGGGGGAAACAGCAGAGGAGAGGAATGGTACTCACGCTGTGAGCAGTCCGTAGCCATGGCCTCGTTGTTTCCTATAGTCCTTCCAGGAGGAGAGGTCAGAGCGGATTGGGGTCTGGCCCTCCTGCCTCAGCACCTGCTCTATCAGGGCTGGCTCGGCCACATGCACTGTCAGGATGGGACCGAAGCTGGCCTTCCACATTGGCCCGTAGCGCTTCACACCCTCAAGCTGGGAGAGGACAACACATTAGCACACAACGCATTTAGATAGCATGATTCACTGGAGATGGAACAGTCCTTAGAATTAGAATGAATCTATTTCTATGGATGGAACATCAACATGTTGTGAGCAGACCTAGCTACAGTTCTAAAGTAAAGTTTATGGACAAAATCTGTTCAATGTTCAAAGCTTTGGGAGCCGCCCTATGGTCAAGATGTGATATAAAGCTTGCCCTCTTGCTCCTTATGCTCCCCATCTACCCCTATGATGTAGCAGACACCCGCAAAGCACAGGAAAGTGCCTGAGTTGCCCAAGGCACTTTCCTGCTCAATGAACCAATGAACCACTTGTCTTACATAGCTTATGCATTTGCAACTGCATGTCTGGTGCATTTAGGTAGCTTTTGTTGGCCCCCTCATAGCTTTTTAATTGCTGAACAATTACATTACACACTGATGGTTATGTTATACAGTACATGTAAGAAGAGCCAGTGACAGTGTCTGCCAGTCTGACACTGTTTATGGCCTTGGCTGACTGAGGGGGGCAAGCCTGCCCTTCCCTATAGTACCATGCCATATCTAACCTAATGGAGCAGGTGTAGAAAGACTGCTAAGCTGAGTTCCCACTTCCGTTTTTCAGGGGAAACAGAAGTTAGGTTGAAAATACTGTACCCCTGAAAATCGGATGATAGCGTTTTCTGGCGACTCCGCGTAGGCTATGCCATACCCAACAGTAATGTAATAACCTATCTATTACAAGACGCAATGTGATGACCAGTTACATCTGCCAATGAAAGATACATTACTATGGTACTCCTGTTAAAATGACAGACCCATAAGCACTAAGTATAAGACATTATAAAACACTAATTTCATACATTTACATCAGTGTCTGTCTGGCTAAAAAGTAATGATTAAAAAGAAAGATGAACAAGTCATTCAAATAATTTACCTGCAGCTCGTGGAGGCGGGACAGTCCCCGTTTGGCGAAGAGGTCCCAGGCAAATTTGGCGACGGTTGGTCCCGGCATCTCCTCCAGGGTTTTCATCCGGTGCGTCGCCTCCGTCTTCTTCAGGCTAGCTGCGCTCTCAGCCCACTTCTCCATCCACTTGATCAGCGGGGACGCACTGCGACCGGACACTTTGAGGGCTTGCTGCAGCATCCTTATGGCTATGTTCATACAATGGAAGATGAACGATGGCAAGTGTGTCGGGTGTCGGCACTCATCTCGCACCAAGACACTGTATTTATACCGCTAGACCCATGCCGAACTAGAGTTGTTAAGTTTCTCAGTGTGGGCCAATGAAAGCAAATGCTGGAGTCGACCCCGCCCAGTGGCAAGGCTGGGACGCAGTAGGCGTGAACTATTTGGAAGGTGTGTCCAATCAGATGGCAGAAGTCAGACCAACCCAAAGTAGCGCACACGTGGAGGGTAAATAGCCTAATCAATTTTCTCAGACACCGGTGGAGCTGCTGAGAAACAATTTTCCTGCACTGCATTTCTCTGTCTAGGCTATTATTAGGAGGAAATGAATAGCAAACAGATCATGCATGATAAGAATTAAGATGTGTTGCCATAAATCACATATTAAAAACAGTGTAGCTTACTATATCAATATAGCTTAGCCTACTCCTATTATATGACGTTTATTTGATGTGGATAATCAATTTTACACGAGTATGAAACAAACATGCAAAATCATGTCAGGCTGTTTAGCCTATAATATTCGGGTGTGCTTTGTTTCAGTCACAGTGGGGTTAATATGTTGTATTTCAGTAACTCCAGAATAATCAATGTTAAATTAGTGTTCACTTTTTTTGGAATGCATTTTCCAGTCCTGTAGATGTTGAGCAATAGGTCCATTCGTGATCCTATTATAGGCCTATGCTTCTCAATTCAATAATTCGTTAATACTGCGAATTATCTACTCATAAAGGGCCTACTGAGAATGTATTGCAATAGGCTACATGGATTCTTTGCTGACTCGGGGTTTTCCTGTTGGGTGCTCGCCTCGGTCTTTGTGTGAGCACGAGAGAAAATCCAGACCCGCTTTTCATTAAAGTGGAAGCTTGCCAAAACGGCATGTGTGCACCTTGCGCGATTAAGTAATAGTGGTTTTACTCGGAATCTGCATTGACGTTTGGTGTTCTTCTATAGTTCAAGCCATACAGCCCCTTTCCCGGATGTCATTTTAAGAGAATTACCGAACACTGAAATACCCACGATTGACTGTAACAGCGCCAAATACAGGCACAGATTTGGTGCATCTTCTTCAGAGGCTTTTTGTGAGTAACTTTCATGTCTGCCAGTGGTGTGTCCAGAACATTTTTAATGGGGTGTATGGCGTCATTTCCGTCTCACAATTGGAAGGCGCAGGGGGGCATGTCGAGAACGTGGGAAATAATATAATATAATATGCCATTTAGCATACGCTTTTATCCAAAGCGACTTACAGTCATGCGTGCATACATTTTTTTGTGTACGGGTGGTCCCGGGGATCGAACCCACTACCTTGGCGTTACAAGCCGTGCTCTACCAGCTGAGCTACAGAGGACCACATAATGTTGAGCATGGGTGGAGAGAGTTGAGATAAAACATATTGAGGGGCAGAGGATGATGTTGAGGTGCTGAGAGACAGTTAAGAACTCAGACAAAAATGTTGCATGCCCAGAAAGTGGAATTGAGCACAATAAATTAAGTGTGGAGCTCAGCATCTACCTGCTCACAGTATACTTGCCTGCACTCTCTCGAAATGCAGCTGTGCTTGCAAGATTTGACCTCTGTGTGCTTGCAAATCTGCAATGACATCTTACTCATATTTTTGCCAGCCTTATTGACCAGCACTGCTTTTGTTACAATGCCATTGACTGACGAGCTAAATGGAAGGACGGACCAACGTTATGTTTACATCCCCAAGTAGCTAACCAGTAGCCACATTACAACATGGAGTACTTCCGGCAAGGCGCTTCTTCTTTTAGGTAGTGATGGGACACCGAGGCTTTCTGAAGGCTTCTGCGCTTTCCACAAATTAGGCAAAAAACTGTTAATTACTCGAAGCTTCATTATGTTTACAATACTCATTAGTGAAATCTGCTGGTCAGCAATATAGCAGTGTGTGATTATCAGATAAATAAATACAATTCTCCACTGTTTTCATTAAAACTACGTAGCGCAGTGGTAATTCCTTGGCTTTAGTAGCCTATAATCAGTTGGAATCACAGGTTCGCATCTTACATCCTTCTTCCCTTTTCTGCCTTCAAGTTTACTATTTAAAAAAAACAATCTATGGCATTATTTAGGATGCTTAAGACATAAGCTTATACTATACTACACTGAACAAAAATATAAAGGCAACATGTAAAGTGTTGGTCCCATGTTTCATGAGCTGAAATAAAAGATCACAGAATGTTTCCATACACACAAAAAGCTGATTTCTCTCATTTGGCACAAATGTGTTTACATCCCTGTTAGTGAGCATTTATCCTTTGCAAAGGTAATCCATCCACCTGACAGGTGTGGCATATCAAGAAGTTGATTAAACAGCATGATCATTACACAGGTGCACCTTGTGCTGAGGACAATAAAAGGTTAATCAAGAGAACCAGCGCGCTCTCCTAGAAGCTTGGCTGGTGCGTAAAAACAGCTAATTCAGACAAACAAAAAAGTGTAATGGGTTCGCACTCAAAAATATGTCGCATAAAGTTACATACTGAAGAAGGCTGTAAAGCCGAATCGTCTGTGTATGCTATCCCTGATGCAGTGACAATAAAAGGCCACTCTAAAATGTGCAGTTTTGTCACACAACACAATGCCACAGATGTCTCAAGTTTTGAGGTAGTGTGCAATTGGCATGCTGACTGCAAGAATGTCCACCAGAGCTGTTGCCAGAGAATTTAATGTTAATTTCTCTACCATAAGCCGTCGTTTTAGAGAATTTGGCAGAATGTCCAACCGGCCTCACAACCGCAGACCACGTGTTACCACGCCAGCCCAGGACCTCCACATCTGGCTTCTTCACATGCAGGATTGTCTGAAACCAGCCACCCGGACAGCTGATGAAACTGTGGGTTTGCACAACTGAAGAATTTCTGCACAAACTGTCAGAAACCGTCTCAGGGAAGCTCATCTGTGTGCTCGTCGTCCTCACCAGGGTCTTGACCTGACTGAGGTTCGGCGTCGTAACCGAGTTCAGTGGGCAAATACTCAAATTCGATGGCCACTGACATGCTGGAAAAGTGTGCTCATCACGGATGAATCCCGGTTTCAACTGTACCGGGCAGATGGCAGACTGATGTCAACATTGTGAACAGAGTACCCCATGATGGTGGTGGGGTTATGGTATGGGCAGGCATAAGCTACGGGAAATGAACACAATTGCATTTTATTTGGGAATTAGCTATTGTTAAATACAGTGGGGGAAAAAAGTATTTAGTCAGCCACCAATTGTGCAAGTTCTCCCACTTAAAAAGATTAGAGAGGCCTGTAATTTTCATCATAGGTATACGTCAACTATGACAGACAAAATGAGAAAAATAAATCCAGAAAATCACATTGTAGGATTTGTAATGAATTTATTTGCAAATTATGGTGGAAAATAAGTTTTTGGTCAATAACAAAAGTTTCTCAATACTTTGTTATATACCCTTTGTTGGCAATGACACAGGTCAAACGTTTTCTGTAAGTCTTCACAAGGTTTTCACACACTGTTGCTGGTATTTTGGCCCATTCCTCCATGCAGATCTCCTCTAGAGCAGTGATGTTTTGGGGCTGTCGCTGGGCAACACGGACTTTCAACTCCTTCCAAAGATTTTCTATGGGGTTGAGATCTGGAGACTGGCTAGGCCACTCCAGGACCTTGAAATGCTTCTTACGAAGCCACTCCTTCGTTGCCCGGGCGGTGTGTTTGGGATCATTGTCATGCTGAAAGACCCAGCCACGTTTCATCTTCAATGCCCTTGCTGATGGAAGGAGGTTTTCACTCAAAATCTCACGATACATGGCCCCATTCATTCTTTCCTTTACACGGATCAGTCGTCCTGGTCCCTCTGCAGAAAATCAGCCCCAAAGCATGATGTTTCCACCCCCATGCTTCACAGTAGGTATGGTGTTCTTTGGATGCAACTCAGCATTCTTTGTCCTCCAAACACGACGAGTTGAGTTTTTACCAAAAAGTTCTATTTTGGTTTCATCTGACCATATGACATTCTCCCAATCCTCTTCTGGATCATCCAAATGCACTCTAGCAAACTTCAGACGGGCCTGGACATGTACTGGCTTAAGCAGGGGGACACGTCTGGCACTGCAGGATTTGAGTCCCTGGCCGCGTAGTGTGTTACTGATGGTAGGCTTTGTCACTTTGGTCCCAGCTCTCTGCAGGTCATTCACTAGGTCCCCCCGTGTGGTTCTGGGATTTTTGCTCACCGTTCTTGTGATCATTTTGACCCCACGGGGTGAGATCTTGCGTGGAGCCCCAGATTGAGGGAGATTATCAGTGGTCTTGTATGTCTTCCATTTCCTAATAATTGCTCCCACAGTTGATTTCTTCAAACCAAGCTGCTTACCTATTGCAGATTCAGTCTTCCCAGCCTGGTGCAGGTCTACAATTTTGTTTCTGGTGTCCTTTGACAGCTCTTTGGTCTTGGCCATAGTGGAGTTTGGAGTGTGACTGTTTGAGGTTGTGGACAGGTGTCTTTTATACTGATAACAAGTTCAAACAGGTGCCATTAATACAGGTAACGAGTGGAGGACAGAGGAGCCTCTTAAAGAAGAAGTTACAGGTCTGTGAGAGCCAGAAATCTTGCTTGTTTGTAGGTGACCAAATACTTATTTTCCACCATAATTTGCAAATAAATTCATAAAAAATCCTACAATGTGATTTTCTGGATTTTTCTCTCTCAATTTGTCTGTCATAGTTGACATGTACCTATGATGAAAATTACAGGCCTCTCTCATCTTTTTAAGTGGGAGAACTTGCACAATTGGTGGCTGACTAAATACTTTTTTCCCCCACTGTAAATAGTGTAGAACACCCTTCTGTCTCTGGTGTGTGTTTGGAAGGTCTACATTTCTTTTAACCACTCATTCATACAAACTGATACAAATGCAATAACTGACATATTCACTTGTCTATTGTCCCATTCTTCAATCTGGTCTTTGATATATATTTAAGTTGATACACCCGTGTGATGTGTCTAATATACATGAATACAAAT